TATCTGGACATTAACCTTATATATAGAATAAATGTAATTTACTTATTACATACTTATAATATGCTTATTATACTCAAATGTACATTATATTAAATATAATGTATATCAAAATATACGCTTATTTTCTATAGATTTTCTTGAGATGTATTATTTAATTTTCCAATTTCTTTAATATCTTAAAATTATCTAGATAAAAATCTCAACTAAATCATCTTTTATCTAGATATGATCAAATCGGATTATCTTTATCTTATCTGAGATACATACGTATATGTTTTATCTAATCTGTATCTAGATTATTTCAAATTATCTAAGCGCAACACTGCACACACGTATACAGTTAACAATATAATGTTCTATCAATATATACACATATACCCAGTAAACAATTTGTTCGCAATTTGCCAGCAAAACTAATTTGTTAATGGCATTCAGTGATATTATCACTGATTCCAAGTAAACTTTTTTTTATCACTGAATCAATTAGTGAAATTTTAATTGATTCTACTAAGAGAGTGCAGTTTGGCCATAATACTTAATCTCTTTTCATATCTGTTCAGGAAAAATCAATTATGTACTAAAATAATAAATATTGTACGTGCATAATATTGTAAGTTATATTTTTTAATAATATAAAAATATTGTAAAATTATTTAAAATTAAATATTATACACAAATTTTATAAATCTATCCGAACTGCGAGTCTTGCTCGGTTTTTGTCAGCAATTTGCTGTTAATTTTTTTTCGATAAGCTTGGATATATTTCTGCAATTTTGCGACATCGGCAGATATAACAAGCTCTGCAGTATATTTGAATATCTTTCTGCTAACAAAAATTTGTAACAAGCATTTGGCAAAATTTGCTTTGACAGACTTGGCTATCTAGATACACGTTACATAATATTTTCTTTCTTTTACCTCTAGTTTCCTTATCGTTTTCATAATGGCTATATACGATAACATCGGTAATCGGTATTTTATCTGTTTTATAAATCTTTTGTAACCGTGGCACACCAAATTGCAGCTATCGTCATATCGCATTATCTATTTATATCACATGACATAATACAACCTTGTAGTTCTGGCTCGCTCTTACATTTATACAGTTTAAAAACACCGCTTGTTTACTTTTTAAACTATATACATTCGTTTGATCCGAAACGCACTACAGAGAAGCACATAAAATTTTACAATACAGTATATAATATATATAAAAAATATATATAATTATAATATTAAAAATATTATATATATATATATATATAATTATTAATATTATATACGTAAATTAACAGTAAATTAACAAACAATCACAAAACGATACAATAAAATTACGTATATATGTTGTAATTGTTCTTATTTATTTTTAAAAAAAAAAAAACGTGAATTACTTACATTGCTCTCACGAAATAAGAAAATCGCGAACGTGCAATAGCTCGACAACATGACTTCTGCGCGTCTCCGCTGTCGCGGTGCTTTTATTTACGATGTGTTAATGAAACTCCCACGCTCTCGTTCGATTACACATTTGCGGGATTTTAAATTGAAGAACCATAATCTCGGGTACTTCCCTAGACTCTCGCGAGTTTCCCCTCCTCTCTGTTCAACTCGATTCCGCGAATCTCGAGGCAATTGCTGCCAATCGCCGCGCCATTATCGGACTGCGTCGAACGTCCCTGCGCGAATAGTTGTTCGAACGTTGATTGGTCAATTTTCTCGCGAGCGCGCGACAATATTGTAAATCCAACACGTTGAACGATCGCTTTGTAAATCCAACTTAAACCGAGCGTGATGGCGTTGGGCTCGCGCGCGACAACCAAAAATAAGATGGCTGATCAACGAAACAAATAGAGCGCCGTCGTAAATAACACAAACCGTCCCCCCGTGCACGTTTCGCGAGCGACGTGTGTACACACATTTTCTGGCACGTGCGTTCTCGCGGCGCATCGCCGCTCGGTCGTCGACGGTTCGCGATTACAATCGCGTCGCCATTTTCGCCCGTGTTCCGCGTGAAAAGGCGCGCGTTAGCGCGGCATAGCGATCTACGCGATTTACGCGAGGGGAGGATATTTCCTTCTCCGTCCGTTTTTTGTTGTGTTTCATGCGTGAGGACGCACGCGTGCGTGCGTCGTAATCACGTCGTGACCGCGCGCCGCGTCGTAAGAGCCCCGCAGGAGGTGCGGACTCACGCGACGGCGGACACGATCCCCCACCGTGAGGGAGCGTCGACGAGCGAGCCGCGTTTTGGTGGTGGCGACCGTCCTGGCGACGCCGTCGCGTCGTCTCACCAGGATGCGAACGCTTGACACGCGCGATGCGTGCCAGTTTGTTGTCCCACGTAGCCGCCAATGCCCGCGACGCTTCGCCTAGCTCCTCATGCTAGTCTCGTCTTCCGAATTGCTTGGAGCACAGCATGAAGGAGATGCTCGGAGGGTGCTGCGTGTGTTCTGATGAGAGGGGTTGGACCGAAAATCCATTGGTGTACTGTGATGGACAGGGATGTACTGTTGCTGTGCACCAAGGTATATATATGTAATTTTATATCTCTGTTGCGTCAAGGTATTTATTTATTTATATATGCATTATCATGTTTTCTAATTAAACAAGATTATCTTTTGTTGACTGCTTGTGAGTAACGCGTGTTGTCGTTTTGCAGCGTGCTACGGCATCGTCACTGTACCAACGGGACCATGGTATTGCAGGAAATGCGAGTCACAAGAACGCAGCGCTCGTGTGGTACATAAATATAAAGTTCTTTGCTTATTTTTGTTTGTTTTTTTTTTTTGGTTTGCTAAAGAGCATGTGATCAGAAGCATGGATATGTATGTTTGTTTGCAACGGGATTATAGACTATTTAATATAATTTATATTTTTTTGTTTTCGACAGCGCTGTGAGTTATGTCCAAGTCGAGATGGAGCTCTTAAGAGAACAGATCAAGCTGGATGGGCGCACGTTGTGTGCGCTCTGTATATTCCAGAAGTTCGATTTGGTAACGTGACTACAATGGAACCTATTATATTGCAACTTGTTCCCTCAGAGAGGTTTAACAAGGTAAATAGTTTTATCGTAGAGTCGGTCACCAGAGAGTCGTTCAGATTGTTGCTCCATTTTAATGTGTCTTTTTTTTTGTATTCCGTTTGGCATGTATAAAATATTTTAATGATTTCTAGACGTGCTACATATGCGAGGAGCAAGGTAGAGGTAGCAGAGCAACTGCAGGAGCATGCATGCAGTGCAACAAGACCGGCTGCAGGCAGCAATTTCATGTTACATGCGCACAGGCTCTGGGTTTGCTCTGCGAAGAGGCCGGCAACTATCTCGATAATGTGAAATATTGCGGATACTGTCAGCATCATTATTCGAAATTGGTTGGTAATATGTACGATTGTGTCTTACCCGATGTGATGAGAGCTTTCTGGGTAAAGCAATTGATTGATTCGCAGAAAAAGGGTGGTAATGTGAAAACGATACCGCCGTACAAACCGATACCCGCCGACAACGGCTCGTCGGACTCGTCGCCGGAAAAGGAGGCGGAAGCGCCGATAAAATCGTCGAGCGGCAAGCGGAAAAGCTCGAGTTCCAAGTCCATCGTCAATTCTAAAAGTAAATCCAATGCTAGTCCCAATTTAGAGATAAATGGCATCGCGGACGATAAGAGCAGTAGTAGCGGACGTAATACGCCAAAAGATAATTCCACGAGTTCCAGCAAGTTTACGACTTCCAACTTTGTCGAGACCATTGTCACGCAGTCGGAAAGCGTGTTCGGGCATGAAGCAGGCGCGATCACCACCGCGGTCACTACGGTGCCCGCTTCGGCGATCAAGACGAGCGGCGGTAACGTTAACGTGCCGCACAAGAACGTCGGTCAGAGCAAGTCCGGCACCTCTTCGGCTTCCAACAAGACCTCGAGTCACACCAGCAAGAAGAGGAAGGCTGGTGCGCGCACGCCAACGGTAATCGGAAACGAGAACTCGAATCAGTCGGTCAGTTCGGAGGCTAGCGGATCAGTTGTGGTGGCCGTCAGCTCTGTGGTGCAACAGGCCATTCCGAGTAACAATATGCAACCGACAATCGCTGAAGCCACTAGTCTAAGTACAACAGCGGAACCGGAAAGACAGAAGAAGGTAAAAAAAATCGTTTTGTGTGTCGCGTCATCTCTACTATCTCTACTCTGATGTCGTTCTTTGTTCATTCATTCCAACAATTCCGCAACAACAAAGTAACACAACGATCATTGCACATTTTGCTCTTTCATTCAACACCTTTGTACATTTGATTTTTGATTTTACGAATTGGTATTGACATTAGATTGAAATTTGAACCATTGAGAGGAAAGAAAGTCTCAGGTTTAGCTTAAACTTCGTTTCGATTGGTTCAAATTCGTATCCAATCCCAATTCGTGCGATAACGGGCGTATAAGTTTTAAATTTTCAATTTCACATGTAAACAGACGAAGGTCGAAAGTCCGATTCAATCAGCGTCAAACACTCCGGTCGCCACAGAAGCAACCACGACACCTGTGATAATGACGGTGACGCAATCTTCTTCCTCGATCGTCACTCAGTCGCCGACAACCACGTCAAGCAACATCGTCGTGTCCGTGCCGTTAACCGCCACCTCGCTCCCGAGCACGGTTCAGAGTTTGGTGCCTACCAACATACCGACGCTTTACGCTCAGCAGATGCAACAGCAGAGCATAATCACCACGGCCGCGAACACGGAACCGCGATCCAGCTCGGTGGTGAATACCGAGAGATTTATGATGGAGGAAACGCCAGTAAAACGATCTCGGTAAGTCGATCGAAAACGCGGCTCGAGTTTAATTATAAAAAAAAAAAAAAAAAAAAAAAAAAAAAGGACTTTGAAACCGAAAGGCTTTTTAAAATAAAAAAAAAAAAAATAAGTGAAACTGCTGCAATTTAAATTTCTGTTTATATCAAATTTAAAATAGTTTTACTTTTAATTTTATAGAAAAAATTTCTCTATACGATAAGATAAATATTTTTCTCTCACTCTTGGACGTTGTTTGTTGTTAATTAAAATTATATAAATTCAAAAAAAAAAAAAAAAAGAATTACAAGAGGATTTGTAAATTTTTTTTGTTATTGTTGTCGGGATGTGAGGTAATGAAATCTGAGTGTGAAAAACAGTGGTGTTTTTTTTCTTAAGCGAGAGAGCGCGTTGCTCATTATATCTAATACGTAGGTAAAGTGCGGCGAGAGGTGATAAGAAACACAAGTGCTTTCAAGAGAGAAACCTATGCAGGTGCATTCTTCAGGAATGCGCCCGTGCATCGCGCTCAAAATGGCGGATGCGCCAATTGGTAAACAAGGTGGTCTATTCTAACCTGTACGCGCGCCCGAGTGGACTGTTTGTTTCTCGATTATTTGGACGGTCGGGCGGACAATAGTGTTTTTGGGAACGTGATTTTGAAAAGTCGAACGTGTGTTTGATCGTTGACGCGCAACGTTTGATTGATTGCGCGACCGCGATCGCGCTCGGGCGGGAGTTTGAACGTGCACATTTGTGTTTATAACAGTAGTCGCTATGTGTAATGAGCACAATAGTTCACTTGAGGTCATTCGACATGCACCCCATAACAATCGTCTCTGTCAATAATTGTTTAATTGCGATAATTCGATTTTTCGCGTTAACATCCGCGGGACAACAACGAACAACGGGAAAATATCGTCGGAACGAGCCGTCGGACGATTTTTTGACTTTTAAACGCGCTTCTCGAAGCGAGCCAAGTTTATGGTTATGTTTGTTTTTTCTTTAATGAGACGACTCAAGTGTCGTCTTATCGAGCCGCGGAAAGGTGTAACGTGACGTTTCTCTCATTAAATCTCAATTGTCTGTAGTTTGTTTTCACATTAACTTTGTTCCACGAAATTCTAAGCGGAATAGCAGCCTCAGGTATTTCTCATTCTAAGGCACTTTCTTCATGTTTAACAACAACACGAACTTGATCTTTCAGCTAGCACGTATTTAGCGCTACGTATTTTTAACCACGCTAACGAATTGCGTGAGGAAACGCACATTTATTTTTAGTAAAGGTGCAAAAGACACGGAGAAAACAACCAATCGGTCGCACAAACGTGCGATAACATTTGTGAACAGAAGTAGAAACAAGTGTGTTCGTAACAAGTGATGCAAATAAAAAAAAAAACTGTGCAAATTGTGCAGGAAAGTGCAGCTGAAAGATCAACGGGAAGAAATCTCTATTGGAGTTTCCTGTGATGTAAAAATTAAACATTTATTTCGTGAAATATTATTTTGTAGTTCTCAATCAGCTGACAAGCAAGAGAAGACTCGGAAACCAAAGCGTGGCTCGTCGAATAGTCAGTCCGCGCTGTCGCAAGCAGTTTCATCCGTCGTAACCTCCGTATCCAGCACTGCGGGAGGAACCACGTCCAAGAGGGGCGCGCGAAACAATCATCAGACACCCCCACCGGCGAGCACCGTGGCTCCTGTGCCGTCGATAATTCAAGGTCCCGCAGCCAGTGGCGGACATTTCAGCAGTATGAGTAATGCCGCGACTACTCTGGGACCAGTTGTCAAGGAGTCGCCACCTAGCAGTCCTGGATCGGAAAGTATGGGTAGTTCAACCGGAAAACGAAAGAGGAAGGCAGCCGTGTCCACGCCCACACCGTCAGCGTCAACCACACCGACCACTCTTGCCACCACCACAATAAAAGAAGAAAATAACGTGAAATTGTAAGAAAACGCAACAACGATGACGCGAGAAAAACAAAACCTGTGACATTCGCACGAGATAGCGTTAATACAGTGTGTGTGATAATGTTTGTTTAGATTTCAAAATGGAGTTAGCGCACCGCACATGTTGGGAAATCAGTTGAATCCTACTTCGACAATGGCACAGAAAATGTCCGATACGCTTTCGCAAGAGCTGGAGGCTCATTCTATTTTTACGGAAGCGAGTAACTCAGCTACAAATTTAGTTGGACCGCAGTTGCACAGTCGAGTGATCGCGTCTGTAAGTAATGTTGGTGAAATTGTTGTTATTGCGTCTGGAATAAAATTTTTTGTTAATTTACGCGATAACGGTATATTTCGACGAATTTTTCTCTCCTTTATCACAGATACGATCCAGCCAACCGGGTATGCCGCCCACTTCGTTCTCGCCGATATTTTCCACAAGCAGCAACAATGGGAATTCGACACAGCCTAACGCAGCTACTGCCAGCGGAGCTCTGGGTGGCGGAGCAATCCCCCAGACACTGGATCAGCTCTTGGAGAGACAGTGGGAACAGGGAAGTCAATTTCTAATGGAACAAGCTCAGCATTTTGACAGTGAGTGTACGAGGAAGGAAAAATATTACTTACAATCGCATGAGTGTTTTGTGAGGGGTGAAGGGAAGTTTGCGGTTTACCTTTTTTTTTTTTTTTTTTTTCGCGATAAGTTATCGTCACGGAGAAATTTGCATGATAGCAGAACGTGATATCATAAATTGCTTTGCAATAAAACCTTGTATTTTTAATCGGGTATATATAAATATGTATCTTTTTTTTATCATTTTTGTTTACTGTCTTCAAAAATGCCGAGGGTTCTCTGAGAGAAGCGATGGCTCGCATCATTAAACAAACTGACGATGTTTTTATCAAAATCTGTTACAGTCGCGTCCCTGCTTTCCTGTTTACATCAACTGCGAGCTGAGAATCTTAGGCTAGAGGAACATGTAAATAATCTCCTGCAGAGGAGAGACCACTTATTGGCTGTGAATGCTAGACTCGCTATTCCATTGACAACTCAGCCTAGTTCACATCCAGGTTAGATTAGAATTAAATGAATCTACTACGCTACATCACGTTTACTTTTCGCTTACGAGAAGCAAAGTATAAATAAAAAAGTATATCATAATTGTGTTCTCAGTGAACAACATACATCCGACGGTGAATCCATCTCATTCTAACGTCGCACACTCAGAAGTGCCGCCCGGCGCGCCGGCTCCGGTACCCAGAGTGAGCCGTGAGCCACGTCTAAACAACACTTACATGTCCCACTCCAGTTCCGGCCATCCGACGACGTTAGAAAATGGGTTACCGCCGGATCCTTCCCCACCCGCGGCGGCTTCTCTCTCTCAGTATCAACTTCGAGGATCACTGGTTGCACCGCAACCGAGCCCGACGATAAGGTAACATGTCTTACATCCAACACTTGTTGATCTACCGTTATTCTTATCTTACATAACGTCTATTATATTTCGTAAAGGCACAGTCCAGCCGGTGGTGGATACCTTCAACCCGGTCAGGCGAGTAATATAGTGTCGCCGGCGTCCGCTAATACTTCTGGCGTGGTGCGAAATTCGTCTGTCACGCCAGATCCGTTACGCGGAGTTAGGTGAGCAAACAGCTTTTGACTTTTATTGAATTTGATTATAACAAATTTTTTAACAGATTTTGCAACGATTTTGTATTTAATTTTTTTTCTCTATCAGATCGGCATCGCAACCGTCGGGCACTTATATGCCGTCGATGTATCAGCCCGCCATGTCAAATCTCAGCAGCAATCAAGTAAGCGGCGTTCACAATCTTCATTCGCACGGACCATCGCCAACGGGCCACGGTCCGCCGAGTAAACCTAGCTGAAGGTAGATACAAAAACAACTCGAATATGGCAACCGCAACTTGTAAAAAATAAATGAAAGCATAACGTGTATACATTAGTACGTGCGGAATGCGTACGTTTTGGGCGCTCACGCGCTTTGACCGTCGGTCAAGCCCACTTTTGTTCTACATTTAATTAGCAATGGCTGTTGTCACTTGCGTCATTGAAGCGCTCAAAGCGAACGCGCCCGATGTAAAAAAAAAACAAAAAAAAAAAGGATATAATCTCGTCGCAAGAGAGAGACCTAACTGCACTTCTTCGCGAGATATTGACTGATGTACATTTTTCTATGCCAGGTTTATCGGCAATCATTTTCTTGCGTGATAACGACCGTCACTTTGACGACGTCGGTCGCAAAGTACAAAACATACATACGTCGATTTATATCCTTTACACAACTTTCCATACATTCAACAGATTTATAATACATCAATCGTCATGCGCGCTGCGTGCAATGTTGAACATTTCGCACGTATTTGCGAGATTTTGTCGCTCGATCATCTAAATGAAAAAGCGACACGCTTTTATGTATATCGAATTGATTGGATATTTAGTATCGCTCCTTCATTAACTTTCTGTTGTTTTTTTATCTTGTGTGGTATTTTTATAAGCACGATTTTACAAGTTATACGTACTGTAATGACGTACCGAAAGCTCAATTAAAATTAGAACGACATTAGCGATAAAAAAAAAGAAAACAAAAACGAAGAAGCAGTTAGGAAGACTTGTCTCATGGATTCAAGACGTTAAAAAAGAAAAAAGAAAAAAAAGAAATTCGCGTCGTTCATTGAAAGTTTTGTTTTTGTTATCGAAGCACACGCCATTGCTAAAATATCTATGTGACTTTTGCATTTGGTTGAAACCTCATTTAAACGCAAACGGTAGGAGCATATCTGAAGACACATTCTTTATCTCTCTTTGTAGGCATCATCATATGTGAACAGCAAATCCACAGATGTACAAATCTTAGACTGTAAGTCAACGTATCGAGATAAATAGCAATAATACACAGTAGGTATAGTATGTTATGAACTGCGTTTATTTCGTGGGTGGTGCGAGGTTTGCAAGTTTCTCCGCGCAAAAAATGGAAGAGAAAAAAACAGGTAAAATAAAAAAAAAAAACGTGTCCAATCCGAATCGGTAACGATCTCGAATCATCCGTTGTCAATCAATTGCGATTGCATCAACGCGCGCGTCGAACGCGTTCGACGATTTGTATTACGCGTGTGAATATTTTGCGAGCGGTTGCAAATGTGAAATTTTTATGCTTCAAATTTTTTTTTTTTTTTTTTTTATAGCCTTTTATTTTATATTAACGTACCACCGTTGAGATATGTCGCAGTGTGTGCGTGTCTGTGTGTATGTGTGTGTGTCTGTCTGTCCTATGTTTCTGTGCGCATGATGCGTGTGTGGCAATACATGTGTACACTGGTGCGCAATGTCTTCCGAAAGGAAAGCAAGCGAATTTTTTGTCTGTACGCGCGTTGTTCTTTATAGTATTCAATTGCCGGCGGCGAATCGGCGTAAAATATAAGAAAAAAATAAAATAAATAACGCGCCCAGAGAGAAAAGTCTCTTTCTTCAAAAGTCTTCATCATTGCGCACAAGTGTACAAGGACGGTATTGAGTGCGACCTATTTCCAGAGGCGGCTTTAGACGTAAAGACGAGACTAAACGGCTATTCGAAAACGTGAATTTTCGTCTATTTTGAACAAAAGTTAAAATGTGCGTGTGATCACGAAATGTTTTGCACGAGGAAAATGTATACATATATATATATATATTCGTATCGAAAGGTCCGTTTGCGAATACTTTTTTTAAATCGAGATTCGCCAATTCTCCGTGTTGTCTCGTGCAAAAGAAATGTGTTTCTATCGCCGCCTCTACCTATTTCATAACTAATTTAATGTACATTCTAATCTTATACACACAAAAATATATGGAAGATAATATCCAAATGTACAAGACGAGCACTGCCTTTCACCAACAAGAGCTGTGAAGTAGGTTGATCGCAATTCGACGATTTTTGTTCTTTTTAGTAAACACACACGACACACCGTCTCATCTTCACTCGCCCCATTTCATCCCATATCTCTTTCGTTATTCAGTTTTTTTTTTCTCTTAAATCCGATAGATCTCATCGATACTTATTCATCATCATCCATCATCATCGTCATCATCATCATCATCATCGCTGCAAATCCTCCAAGGAATGCAGAACAGAAGGATATTGTGCCATGGTTTGATCTACGAATTAAGGACACAATATTCTAAATACAGTCGTTATTTATACGATTATATAATATAAAAACTCGATGGCAATGACTCTCTGTGTCTCTGTCAATAGTCGGACAATGTCTCAAGCGTTATTATTATCATTATTGCGAAGTTATTGGTATCTCGTGATAACGTGAAACTAATTTAATTAGTTGCGCGCGCGAAGGAACTTCAATTAGTTAATTTTGTATGTACATTTGTACGTTACGGTGCATCAATGTCTCGCGTGAGGCAATTTAATGTGTCGCGAAATTGTACACGACAAACGCAAGCAACATGCTGAATTATTCTAAATATTTTTATCCGGAGTTTTCAAGAAATTGTGCAAAAAAAAAAAAAAAATGTTATTTGGGAATATAATCAAAAACTTTTGCAGAGAAACAAGACGGGGGAAAAAAAACACCGCCACAAAGTTCGGTATAAAATCATGAATATTTGCTACAATGTATAATGTATATCGGTATGTGTGCGCATCGATTGCTGCGATATGCGAATAATCCGTGTGAGAACACACGATGTAGTAAATAGTAGTGACACAAGTACGTTGCTTGAAAGAGTACGTTGTATATGCTTTGTAAATCGGAATCGAGGTCAATCCGTTTTTTTTTTTTTTGCCGCATCTCCCGCGAGAACAACGACAGACAAATTTTCTACACTCGTCTGTAATTTCGGGAAAAAAAAAAAACAAGACAGCGAGCAACGCTGTGCGCGCGTAAAACGTAAATCAAACAAAAGTGCTGAACAGTACGAGATAGACACACGTTAGAGAATAAGACTTTCGAACGGAAATAAAAAAAGTATTTCGCTCAAAAGACTATGAGGTACGCGATACGAAGTAATTCGTTGTTTTTTTTTCTTTTCTTTTTTTTTTTTTTAATGTTGCAAATTCGACGCGGCGAAGAAATTTGCATTTTTGAGATAAATCACAAGAGTATAAATAAATAAAATGTAAAATTAAATATAACGCGATATCAAAACGACAAATGTTAAAACAAAAAGTCAAGCGTCCGCCGCAATTGGTCGAAAACTCCGTACGTAGTTGGCGAGAAGTCTCTGAAAGACGTTGATATTTGCGGACGAGGAGAACGGAAGCAAATGAATACGCTCATAAGATGTAGTTCCCACGCTGTTACGTTATTTTTGCACCGTGGCTACGAGAAGCATAGAACGAAAATTTATCAACCTCACAGAATTTATTAGACGTGCGGACTTATATAAAATATGACATATGTACGTATGTGTATAAATTTCGCGAGTTTGTCGTACAAAAACAAAACAAAAAAACTGAAATTTTCCCCGAACCACCTTTCGCGATTTGCGGCGTTTAACGAAAACGATGAAGAAAATTTTTCAAAACGCCGAAGTTTCCCCCCGGATTCTTACATTAATATTACATTAATATTCTTTAATCTAATATTAATAACTTTGATATTTTACGTTTTTCATCGTAATCCGCCGGAAGTGTGTTTCTAAATTGAAGTATTATTTTTTTTCTTTACGAGAGAGAAGCGCTAGAGAGACTAGTACAAGTTCGATTTGACGATCGTCAAGGAGCTGCTCGACTCAATAGGTCATCACACGGTCACGTGATTACATTTCGAATTACAACATCGAATATTAGAAGGTGATTCAGGGAATAATTTATACAAATATATAAGAGAATCGATTGTATGATCTCGATGCTAAGTTTGTAAGTCCGATCGTAGGAATTAGAAGCGGGAGAAGTTTTAAGCGCGAAGGAAAAAAAAAACCAATTTATACGTGTAAGGATCTAAGCTTATAAACTGTGAAAAAAAAAAAAAAAATGATATTGTATATTCGACAAGTAAGGGTAGCGAGAGAAGTAAATAGACATTGAAAACACCAAACAGAATAGCTTATCGTCACTCAGGGAGAATCAGTTTACTGCGCAAAATTTTACCGAGTTTTTTCCTGTAGGAGGTTGACTGCGCCGCGGTAAGCACTTGATGATGTGACACGTGTTGTTCAATTATTGTGTATTCTTGATGTCTAAAAATTGACGAGTTTTCATCAAACTGAGGTCTAAGTAGATCTCAAACTCTTTTCAGAAATGTTTTTTTGCTTCAAAAGTTTGTAAACAATTTTCAATTCTATATTGTTTTCGTCTCGTCAAAGCGACACGGTTTCACTCGAAAATGTTCATAATTAATGTTTTTTTTTTTTTGTATTTGTTGAAAAATGTGCGCTTGCGTCACTTTTTTCAATTTCGTTTGTGATCAATCGAGAGAGTCTTTTGCGGTTTTTCTTTCTCTGTACTTATATTATATCTTATATAACGGCCTACTCTTCAAGAATGCATGATGGGTATTGAATTCTGAAAAGTATTCAGTCTAAGTATTTGTATCAATTTAGTGAGAGTTTAATATGGTATGATCGAAAGTTGTTTTGCTAGAAAATTTTTTAAAAAGACAAAAAAAAAAAGAAGAATACGTGATTTTTTGAAACACGTCGCGTTTGTATCACTGAAGAGTATTTTATGCGTTATCAATACAGTCGACACTGTGTATTGTTATAAGGGATATATATACTATGTGTACAATGTGTGTGAGCGCGCGCGCGTGAGACGATTTAATAACAGAGTAAAAATAAACGGACGAGGGATATTATATAACAAGTTGTACGATATCCTGATTATATATTATTAGGAAAAGAAATAAGAGACACACAAAAAATCGAAGTTTACATAGCAGTACGATGATATTTTTTCACACAGCTGATCGTGCCAAATTTTTTTAATCAAATCACTTCGAATCACTTTCGATTTCTTATAGGCGACTTACATCGAGACAAGTGCGTAGAAAAAAAAAGACGTAGATGAACCGTCTAAATTGACGAGATATCGCGAGACGAGAGAGAGAGAGAGAGAGAGAGAGAGAGGATAACATTCACACGCATCTATTTCATCGACACGTTGAACGATTCGGTAGAAATCAAATGTTTTCTACAAAATTCATTAGTTTTGTACGATATCCAATTGTTAAATAATCTTGCAAATTCTTCGTAAGATTTGTTTTACTTGGACAAAAGTAGAACCACGCGTCAGTCACAAACAGAAAATTTATCCGTCGTTACCCAGACATGGGTAACGGTGTACAACCACGTTCAATGTGTTAGAAGAATCGTCATTGTCATCGTCATTTATTGTATTAACGCGCATACGTTTTATATATCGGTGAGATTCTATTTCTTCTCTATTTTCTTAATTAAGAATATTTGTTTTTCGCCGATCATTTTTCTCTTCTCTAAATTGTACTCACTATCGTGTCATTCCAATCGTATCGGGACAAGCGGTGGAAGAAGAAGGGGAGAAAAATAGATCAGTTATACAGTTTGTTGTGTTCAGTCTCCGTGCGCGAAGATTAGGTGCGCAATTTTTATATCGTTCCTGATCGTCCACGACACTCGAATTCTCGCGATCGATCGTTAAGCGAATATATATATATATATAAATAGGTATCGATATTGTTTTGATTTCCAGAAAGCCATCTCTTCGGCGCGAAGAAATCATCACAGATGTACATAAAGAAAACAAAAACAAAAACAAAAAAAAATAAAAATAGAAATCATCAGTGGCGGTTATCATCGACGTATAAATAGATCGAGCGTATAGATTTTACTTTCATTTAGGTAGTTCTTTATCTAAGAGCGAAAACGCGTTAAGTTTCTGTGTAATGGACACTTTTACCAAATAAATTGTCACTTTCCTATGAGTACACTTTCTCGCCCGTATGCGTTTTACTTTCTCGAGAGTTTGGAGAGAAGAGAACATTTTTTATTTTATTTTTAGTTTTAATTTTATTTTATTTTATTTTTTTTTTTTAATAACAATCTATGCATTATCGCTTCGTAAATTCTACTCGCGTAAATGTGTTCAATTTTTTTCCACGAAGTGTTCACTCGGAAATCAATAGTTCATAAATGTGTATGTACATGTACAATAGTTTGTATGTATAGAAAAATCGCGAATGGAAGCGTGTCGGACATTTGCGGCGTGGTTGTTTGTTTTTTCACAAAACATTCGAAAGTTTCAGTTCTTCTGCAGATCTTGCGTTTTTGTACAAAAAAAAGCAATTAACAAAAAAAAAAAACAATTTATATGTAACCAAGAAAACTGTATTGTAACACCGCGAGGTATATGTAAGTATACCAACAATTGATAAGTACCGTTGATTTATATAAGTGTATTAAGTATTTGATAAGTAACACTATCATTGGTTGATAAGTATATCACTGATTGGTAAATAAAAAAAAAAACAGTATCAATTGAATCATTGACGGATAACATTTTTTCCATTGACGCACGCGTGCGAAAAATCAAAATGTCAAAGTTAACGTGTGATTGCAAACTTATCTGGTTCAAAGAAGAAGACGAATTCTTTCTTCAATCAATCCATGACGTTCCCACTGACCATCACACGTACCGCGGTGAAGTACGATCCAGATGTGTACAAAAACTGCGAGACATGTGTTTCGCATTATTGCACGTACGGAGCAAGATAAGATTACGCGTGTCAGATATAAGTAGCGTGGTCGCGCGTTGCGACACGCGAGATTAAAAAGCGATGAATCTTGAATCGCGATTACTCACCCTCGCGTAATAATTCAACGACAAGGCCGAAACAACGCCATTGATTCTAATGACTACCGGTTTCTGCGATCTCAAAAGTATCTGAACGATCTTTCTCCGCATGCTCATGCTGCCGTTGCACCATTGCAACTCGTACGCCGCCGAGCAAATCTCCCAGCTCTACAAAATAAAAATTATCACCGCGACTCTTGTTTTTAAAAATAATAATACTAATAATCAGTTGCAGGATTGTTACCACGTGCATTAAATTGTCAGCTGGCAAAGCGCACATGAGAAGCTCCAAGCTGGCGCAGAACACCACGACGACGTACTGGGCCTTGACTATTGTCGGTTGATCCTTTTCGGAATTAAATGTTAGATCAAGTGTTTTAATTTAACACGCAAATAATTAATTGTCATAGAAAGTTATTTATAGACATCTTTTTTTTTTTCTAAATATATACGTTTCCAGGAAACAGTTCCACGGACACATTCTACATCTGGTTGTGTAAGGGAGACTGGTTGTGACACGGGTAAAAAGTTACAACCTTAAATTAGCGATGAAAAATAATTGCAACAACGATGATGTTACTGACGCGTGACAGTTGTCGCGTTTGTCTCTTTTTAGCTTTAATGTAGCACTTATTTTTCATCACTAATCAAAGCTTGTAACTTTTTACCCGTGTCACAATCAGCCCCAGTCTCCCCTATACAATTATATATCATTTTTTATTAATCTTAATTTATATATTATGTGATTTATATAAATGATAAAATATAATTTTACATATTTATATGATCGGATATATATAGCATTTGTCCAGGGAGGAACATTTTCTCTCCTTTTGAATCGAGATATATACAATTTTTTTTCTTTCGCAAAATATCTCTTAAGCGAAATATGCTTCCGATGTTCTTACAGTGACCATGTTCAAGCTTCCAAAAACAACACCCATCGTCGTCGTTGCTATTGTGGCTAATATCAGCGGTTGCACAATTTCACTCACTTCTGTCGTGTATCTACAAACCATCTCGTGAAGTATTTTTTTTTTTTTTTTTTTTTTTTTAATCTCACAGACCAGTACAAATCACAAATGACGATTCTCACTTCAATATTTCGTCGTGCAGCTCGATGCACCTGTCGAGATCGCGCTCGTTCTTGGTGCCGCGAATCTTCTGGGCCAACAGTTCTAATCTCGCCGCGGAATAAAACAAAAGAATCGCGATGACGCAGTCGATACACATTCCGGATGCGGCCTGCAAACCTACCAAAGACTGATGCAAGTAGATGACAACTTTGACCGATTGTCGTTCCACCGAAAACGGATACTTGGCGGGAGTCGGAAACTGTTCCGGGAGTATCAACGGGCCGCAGATGACACCGATCGCGGTCAAATAACACCACAAAATGAAAATCCCGTAACCGCGCTTGTAACTGTCAACGTAGCGCTGCAACGAAACGTTTGTCTTCTCATCCGCCTGTTTGCAAAACGTTTCCATCTCGCGATAAACAGCCTGAAAGAATTGATTTTTGTTTTTTTTCCAGTGACCGGACATATGTCCGACTTTTGTTTTCGGCGCAATAAAATAAAAAAATTAAAAAAAATGAATAAATAAATGATCAATTCGACAAATCTCATTGCATACGTACTTGAAAGCGAGTGTACCGACTGCGACACATCATCATCTTGATCGTGACCTGAACGACCGCGCAAGAGAGACAAACGGACTTGGCCAAAATCACGGGATCGTTGCGATATTCGTAAACCGAATTCAATAACGGGAGTAACAACAAGACACTGCTGAGGTAACACGTGTACCACCAAATGTTGTAGATCAGATTGACACTGACTTTCGTTGTTTCCAACGACGGTGGCGGCCAGGCGCACGTTAACGCCACGCTAATCTTCGCGAACAACATAGCTCGGGTCGGCGTGAGTTTTGTTTTCGGTATTGCAATAACACGATCGATGTAACGCATCATTATCGGAGAACACGATTACGCTCGTTTATTCCGTAATAAAATTTTTGCGCACACTTGTCCCCGTCAATAAATTCTCCCATACACTTCGCGTTTGCGCGATACAAAATGTGTTTAGAACAAGGGGTTTAGAATAAGGGGTTTAGAACTTAGCGGGAATAAATGAGAAGGCGAGCTACAGGTAGATTCACACATAAGACACGCGCGTATGCTTTATATATTGCAATTTTCAAATCTTCGACCAAAGGCTGCCGCGTACAAGAGCGTTTCAAAATAATATCCATAAAAATTTGTTTATTGCCACAAAAACGAAATGCTCTCAGAAAGAGATAACAAATCAAATCAAATATCGCACAAATAATCGAATTTGACGCGCGCTGTAAATTCACGCGCGGAACTTTTTTATGTGGAAACAAACTCCCCTGTCGACGTACAAAGTGTAAGTACATCATCGCGTGCTGCATGATTATTACTCTCCTTTAGTCGTCATTACGTATACATGTGTGAGAATGATAACAGATTCAGAGTTTAACGACGGGTTGTAATATCGGACTGCCGATGCTAGCTTCTTTTAAATAATTATACACGCGATACACTCAATTACCTCGCCGCGGTTACCGCTTAGACATGAAAAAAAAAAAAGTACGTGGAAGAAGTGCGTTTCTACCGTTCTATTTTTTTTTTTTTCTTCTATTTCTGGTAATGAAGTAGAGTTTTTTTTTTATTTTGACAAAAAAGTTTAATACATTTGAATAAAATGTTACACAGATACTTATATAGGTTTTCTTTTTTACGAGACATTTATTCATATTACAGAACGGGAGTTTTTTTATTCTGCGCGCTACATAATATGTTTACGTATGTAACAAATCTGTATGATAATTTTATTAACGAAAAAAATTTATGTGAGAATATAACAATCACACTGGAGTACAACTTGGTCGTAAATTTTATTACGTATGTATGATACATTTCTTTCTCCTCTTCTTCACATCTTTTTTACGCGTGTTTTCCTCGAATATAAATAAAACTTCTTATCGATTGTACTCCGTTAATTGTCCGAAACACCAGTTGGAGGAAACGTATCGTTAGAAAATATAATTGTTATCACAAATAATACTTGTACGTGATATTATATATTATTGTACAAAAAAAAAGTACAATGTAATTTGTTCGATAAGTCGAGGAACGGATGGCAAAAACGGATCTTCAAAATGTATGTATTTTACATTTATATCGGACGTTACACCACAGAGTGAACATCTTTCTTATCGCTATAAGTGTTTGATGATCTATATACCAATACAATTTGTGAAACACTCGGATATGCAACAAAAACGCACGAAAGTTTCTTACCTCTCGGGTATCTGTGTGTAAAAATATTTAAAAAATATAACACAATGATAGAAATAAATATCCTATCGTTAAAAATTATTTTTGTTACAAGCTATCTAAATTCTCATAATATATTTAACTATATTTTCATAAATATTTAAAAAAAAAAACAACTCAACAAACATAATGTTACGTAAATCTAATCTAAAAATCCTTCTTTCGCGTGTATAAAGTATACAGTTCTCTATAAAAATCATATCCTAAGAGGGACAGAGTATGATTCTCTTTAACAGTGTCAAAAGTGTCGAAATGGAAACTTTAAGCAATCGAAAAATTGATGTGCGGAGTAGCAACGCTATTCTACGCGATTTTGTAAATGTAAAACAAAAGCGGGAAGAAAAATTAAGCGCGAGAAATTTTGTCGTTTTACTTTCGAAAACTTGAATTGGATTTTGAAAACTTAATTTTTTCCTCTTATTCTGCCGTTGCTACGAGTGAAAGAGTCAGAGGGATTTCGAAAAAGCTGCGAACTCCTTCTCTCTCTAGTCTCAATGCACATTTATAGTGTGTACGATAAGACGTGTGTGTGTGTATGTGTGTGTGTATGCGATATCTTTAATTGATATATTTCTCCATTTGGTACATATCGACGAGCAAACGCGAAATCGGTATCTCCCCGATGGTTTCGTGAAAGAACAAACGCTCGACCGTCTTGGAAGAGACGCATCGCAGATATCCGACCAGAATCATCAGCCTTCCGATTCTACCCGGTTGTTGCGGATAACGTGACCTCGTGTAGTCGACCAAGATACGCTGCGCCTGATCCTGCAGTATCTCGATGGGTTGGACCGCGTGCAGACCTACTGTTTCTGCGATTTACAAAGAAAAATACATACACGCTGTAAATCCGCGCGTCTGCTGTGCGAAACTTTAAATTTAAGTTTCTCTTTATCTTTTACCTGGCGTGAACAGAGCCACCGCCTTCATGCAACCGCACTCGCCGAAATCGGGAGAGAGTTGCCTGAATCGACATATGATCGCCTGCAAATCCAACGTAAAATTCCGTCAAAATGTAAATCGCTCGAAACGAATTCTAATTCGTGCACAGCACAAATCGCGCGCGCGCGCGAGAAAAACTTCGTGAAAAAAATTAACGGAGTAAGTACGAACGGATCGATTTTTTTTTCAAAAACGAACAAGAAGATAAACCTGAATAAGGACGAGCTCTTGGTTCGTAGGATTATCGTCTGTGGGAAGTCTAGCGCGCACTTGTTCGTCTTCCAGAAGCGCGGTGATGTCCCAGGAAACGGACCACTGCGCCAGGTGCAGGAGAAACAACTGAGTCCAGGATCGTTCCAGTAGCAACAGCTGGTCGTCCTTCGATATCGTTTGGAAGGGAGGTAGGCATCGCACCCATCTGACAGCCATAAACAACAGTCGGGCTGTTGTTTCCTGCGTTATCATCAACAGTTCATGTCGTTAACGGTACGTGCAAAATGGATCGAAGAGACCGTTCTGATCGAAAACACACAGGTGTTCGCTATAAGTTTTGGAGAGATAGAGCTACCTGCAACATTTCCCAAGTCGGACTGAAGCTTTGCACGGTTCCCGTCGGACTCTGACTCGTTTCCGTCTCCATCTGTTCCATCGAATATTCCGTCGTGGGTTGCAATCGCGCGTTCCAAACCAGTTCCTGTTTCAACAAATCGGACGACAAAACGCACGCGTAGTTTTTTATTTTTTTAATTTTTTTTTAAACAAATGTAACAAAACTTGCGTGAACAAGTCATTCTTTGGCCTGACAAGAGAGATCGCACAGATTTCTTGTTTGAAGATCATCTATCTCTAATAAAATCTAAAATATGTCATGTAAATCGTCTGAGAAAAAGAAACAGAGTGGGAGAAGATGTAAATGCAATCGAAACATTTGTATTCGTAAAATTATATCTCGTTATTTTCTTTACGCGCATTTTGACAGCCGGAACAGAAGTAAACAAAAATACACATAATTTTCAGGAGGGTGGTAATCGTTTATTAAAGTTAAAACGAAACGAGGAGGAGAATACGAGGGGAGCGACACAAATTGAGCTGAATTACTTACCTGACATTCCTCGGCGGACATTAGTATCTGAAGAAGGGGAGGCTGCGGCGTTAGGGAGACAGTCGCGGCGGCCTGGTAGAGGGTTGTGGTCGTGCGAGGGTGCGGCAGTACCAGCGGCACGGGGGACGGGGACTCCTCCGGCGGTTTCTGTACCAGCGCCATCGGTCGTGGATAAGGCGTGAATCTTTGGTCACACCTTAACCTTCTACAGTAATAACCCTTAAACTACTTCACGAAAAGTCGGTATTGCTTTTTACATCAATTTCGCTCGCTTCGAGTTTTAACAGAGATTTCACACAGTGCGTGTTGCGTGTATTGTATTTTTTTTTTTTTATTTTTTTTTATTAGATACCTGAACGCGTGTATCGGATCGATTGTTTCTTACCATTGTTTGATTTCATTCGGCACTGTCGCGTCTTTACGATTAAACGAGACGATTGTTTGAAATTAAACAAACATTACGCACCTGTGCGCCGACAGAACGTACGGAGGAGCTAACGGAGGTCTCAATCGATCATTGTGCACCGGGGCCGAAGAATGCGGAGTCAATTGCGGAACGATTTGCGATTGTTGCTGATGTTGCTTCTCCGAGATAATAGCGTGGGGCTTCGGTTTTCTCGGTCCGCGCTCATGCTGCACTGCTAAACACCAGTTACGACATATTTATTTATTATTTTTTATCTCCTCTGTTGTTTCGCCTCGCGTTGTTTCTTTCGACAAAAAAAAAAAACGTTTCTTTCTCTGTGTCCACTTCTTGAAAATATCAAAATATCAAATGTAGCGCGCAGATGTGCGCATCCAAAATTGAATTTAAATTATTATTATAATTAACAAATTTGCCAAACTATGATCATTTAACTGATTCGAAAAAGCTTTTGAAATCTTTTCTATCGTCAACTTCAAAATCCCCCGCAACGAACTCTCTCACAATCCGAGAAACAACGAAAACATATTCTCTTACGCGTGTGATATACTCGCTCGGAAGTACGTAGCTAGAACCGCCTATCAATAATATCGGCGATGGACTTAACGGTGGGAGCGAAAAAGTAGGCGCAGGTTGCGCGGAATTGAATTCGGGGGGTGAGAGAGGGGGGGAGGAGGTATAACGCGCGTTGTAGATCGTTCGAGATGTACGAAAGCTGTATGTCCCGTGACCCGATGAGGGGGGAAGGGAGGAGCGAACAAGAGGTCGAGGGAAATAGAGAGGGGGTTGAATCGCGGATGAAAGAGGGTGGTGTAGAGAGACCGGATGTGGTGGCTGGCCGGGCGTCAGCTTCTACAGAGCTCGATCTTTCGAGCGTGGCTACAAACCCAGAAAGAGAAAGGGAGAGAGAGAAAGAGAGAGAGAGAGAGAGAGACAGACAGAGAGGGAGAGAGGGTGAAAGAGGAGGATGTCAAAGGGGAGGAAGACTGATAGAGCGAGATGGCGAAGTGGGAGCTGCAACTGGGTGGCAAGCACATCATCATTAATGAGGCTGAGCGGATAGCAGCCGCGGATTCCCACGTTCGCACTGGCGTCGCAATATCTCCCCTTTATCACGCATTGCCCCCGAGAAGAGTGGTTACTTCGCCACCACGATGCAACGGGAGAGAATTTTCTTCTCTGAACGCGTTTAAAAACTGAAATCCAATTTTTCTACTCGCGCGCGATTAGAAAGACACGTCAAAGTGAAACAATACCCCAATGTTGCGCGCGAGCTCGATGTTTTGTCACATAAAGAGAGTGAGAGAGAGAGAGAGAGAGAGAGAAAGAGATTGTGATCTCTGGAACAAAACTTTTCAGTCTGTAAAAAAATCTTACCAATATTATTTCCACACGATTTTCACAAGACAACACGCCGGTGCGCGCACACGTGTGGCAAAAAGAAGCGACGCGAAATCTGCTTCGGGGCTGTTTGCTTTATCGAGTAGATTGGCCGTGCACATACATCGTGTAACAGGTACAAATATTATTATTTTCAACGAGTAATTGTTCCCGATCCCTTTTTCCGCTCTCGAAAAAGGCGCTCGAGATAAAGACTTGTTTACTTTGAAAACAATGATCTTTATGTTTCACGCACGCGGTTGCGTGCGAGATTACTTTTCCGCGTCTCTGCGCGTCTCTCGGAAATTAAATCTCTCTCCTCCGGTATTTTAATTTTTATTATTCGACATTCCGTCGTTAAACGCGAAATGCGTATTATTATTATTTTTTTTTTCAACGGTTTTTATTTCCGGCCCTCCCCTCTCCGACGGAGGATCAGAAATGAAAAACGATCCGTTTTTCGCTGCCACTGAGCTTCGTCCTTTTTTTTTTTTTTTTTTTCCCCCGTATATACGAAAAGCGCTTTTTACCTTGATCGCTCCGCGGAGAAACATTTTGTCGTCCCGCACGCATCGTTGCTCAAATACAGAGCTTTGTAGCTCTGAGAGCAGCTTACGGCTCGGCGAGGCGAAAAGTGCGAGTGTGTGCGTTTAAGGGAAGGTTTCTCCTCGACGAGAGGAGGAAACGAGCGGTCGGGTTAAATCGATCTCGCGAAGATCGACTGAGCGAAAATTCGATCGCGATTATATATATTTTGTTAGCCGTTCAATATAATTTTTTGTAGTTTTACCGCGCACGACAGCGAGGATGGCGGAGTGTTCAAATCCCCGGCGCGAAGGTGCACTTCAAGACTTTGAATAATAAAGGAGACAGAAAAAACGGAGGGTGTGAGTCTTTTTTTTTTTTTCTATACGTTCGAACTCGAATTTTTCTGTAGTCATCGAAGAGAAACTGAAGATCAAAGTCGCGGTCGGCGACCATTTGAATTTCTCTCACGCGTCAGCGGCTCGCGGACGATTTTCGAGAATACGCGCGTATCCAAACGGCAAATGGACACGACGACGGGGGATTAGGAATCGCATGCGCTGGAATGGACCGCACCCTACTGTTCATCTCCGCGATTCTCCGCTCTCTCCGATTCTTTCTCTCTCTCTCTCTCTCGATCTCTCTTTCTTGTTTCTTCGTTTCCTTTCGTTCGCACGTACACACGCACGTCACCTTATCGCGTGCAGCTATAAACATACGGCCGCCGTAATACTTTCGGGACCGGCACGTGTGGTCCACAATGGGATTTCCCACAGTGGAGTGACGTAGGCGTATAAGGCACCTTCTCTGCACGCGTGAACACACACACACACGCACACACGCGCGCGCGATGGATGCGGAGCGCGGCACAGGGAAGTTTCCGTTTTAAGAGTGCATTACACACACGCGCACGTGTGCGCGACACACACGGTGCTCACACGGGCCATGGAGCTCATACGGATCATGGGGCTCACACTCTCTATCCTCCTAAACGGTAAACCGATCTGTGAACATTTCAGCAGTCAGCGATCTCGAAGGCTAATCCCCCGGTGAATGGGGTTGATACACAGACGCGCGACGCGCACCACTACCAGCATTGTCCCGGCGATTGTCAACGTCATCGTGTGCGTGTGTGTGTGTGTGTGTCTGTCGAATTCGCGCGCGCGCGCGAATATACACGTGTTAACACTTCAGAGATTTTCATTGTTTGATCTTGGGAGATACGCGCGCGCCAAGGGGAAGGACAGAAAGGAGTAAACCAAGATGGACAGTAGCAACAGTTGTCTTGAAGAAGTTTGCGATATAATCGATCTTTCGAGAGTTTAGCCTGAGAAACATCATCATTTTGAATCGATGGAGCTTTTACACGTGCGAAAGAAGACCGACGATTATAAAGTAGAATATATTTGGTCAAATATCTACTCGATAATAATACACAAAAATTATATTTAACAAAAACTAAGAAATAATACGGTCATCCGAGCCGATCGCAGGATGTTGTGCGGAAAACTGCGTATATATATATATATATATGCATATATATATATTTGTTCGCGTGTAAATTTTTACACGCGAGTTTTTGAATTGAACATCAATTCTTAAAATCTTTTATTTAACAAAAAGTTAGAACAGAGGTAGATGCATTTTGTGCGCCATTTTTCTCTTGGGCCGAGACCATCTTATCATCCTCTCTCTCCTTCGGATAAAAGAGATGACGCGCAAGTGTGATTAAATTTAAGTTTGATCATTGAGAAAAATCAGAGAGAGTCGTTCGATATTTTGCGCGCGCGCGCGCGCGCAACTTCGAACAATTTCGATAAAAAGCTAGCTAGCAATTTTCATTTTGTTGCTACTTCCCGTCTCTGAGTCGTACAAGTTATTTTTTTTTTTTTTTTTTCACACGCGTTATCAACGTATCGCACCCTGTACACGGCTATTGTCCGTTACCGAATATACAGAGTATCCGTTTTCCGCTCAGATCGCTTTTATTGTCCGGAAAATCGTATGCGTGTCGTCATGAGTGTACATACGTGTATCTGCATACGTGTAAACCATCTGCAATCCGTATGTAACACTCTCTCTCTCTCTCTCTCTCTCTCTCTCTCTCTCTGTTCAGAGTTTAGGCTTTCCCTCGACCAATCCTATAAATCAAAATTCCGTGAAACGTGATCAGCACCGCGTGAAGCAGCGTATATGCACAAAGCGGCAGCGGGGGCTCATTCCAGATCCACACAGTGTTGGAATAATAATTGTGGTTTCTTATAATTTTGCGACGCGTCGTTTAACGTGTGTCGCGATAATATAAACAATTATATATTTTTGCAAAAGAAAATACACACACTACTCCGTACACTATGCGCACGCATTCTGCGCACTTGAAGCAGAACCCACCGCGCTCGGCCATTTTGTTTCCCTCCTGTGGTCGACTACGGTTTTTTTAATTTTTGTTGTTGCAATTTTAGCTTCGTAGAAGATAAATTATCGCAGATGAGTGTGTTTTGTTGTTACGAATCTATTTGATGTAATAAAAAAATTAAAACATGCACACTGTCTCCTTTGCTGATTTTCAATGAAAATAACACAATTACGCGCTTGATTAAATCGCGCTCTTCCTCGATCACGTATAAATGTTATAATCTGCCCATTCGCGTTTTTTATCCCCGCGACGAAAAGGAAGCAAACTTTCCCGCAGCGTACTTGTACTTCTTACTCAGGCGGAAAGGTGGAAAAGGATTAAACATATATATATATAATATGGCGGCGAATGTGACATTTTGCGGTCGCTCATCCGCGAAAGAGCACCCGACAGAGAAGTGGTTAAAACGTATTTCCTTTTCGCGCGCGCGTACGCGGATTCGAGAGAACCGTCCGGTATCGTCCGCGATATATATGCGGGAAGAGGAAAATCATAGCCCCGTGATAACCCGCGGATGTAATTCTCGCATTTATCTGAAGCGGAGACGATCGAGACACGACGACATTGTGTGGAAGGGAGAGAGAGAGAGAGAGAGAGGGTCGCTGCAGTTCTCTCCTCGGGGCGTGTTGGTATGATGACAGGTGACGATCAAAGCCCGGCTTAGCGCAACGACCCGTTTCGTCCGCACACATCGCGCTCGTATCACGCGAGGGAGGACGCGCGCTCGCGTTTCTCCATCGTTCTTCTCCTTCTCTGTCACGCTCTTTTTCCTTCTATCTTCACTCTCGCGTACGTACGTACGAACGAATGTCGCAAATTTTCCATCCTAGCACATTTTTGCTCATCTAATCTCTCTCCGAAACAAACAAATTCTGAAAACCGCACGCGCGAAATAACAATATTGTTATTGTAAATTTTTCTGTGCGATTTAAATGTAAAAAAAAAAAAAAAACATCACTGCTGACACCCTTCACGCTTTTCGTTTTTTTTTTTTTTTTATTTTAGATTATTTATGTAAAAAACGTCTGTGAGTTTCTCGAGCATGTTAAAAACACATATTCTCAGGGTTTTTCTTCCTCCAGTCTGATTTCTCTCGTCGGAAACAATTTCTCGATTTTCGCGAACATCCGCATAACAGACACGTTTTCTTTCGAGAAACGTCCGCGGCGAGAGATGGTATTTACGGCGCCTACCGCGCTCTCTCTGTTGTAGGCCCGTTTACCGTTTATGTGGATGGATTGATGCTGCCCGTCGCGTGTACGGCACGCCTCGCTTCGTTGCGTCGCCAGCCGTCCATTCCCACGCAACTTCCCCTGTGTGTGCTGTCACTATCCTCCGACCCCTACCCACGTCCCCTCCTCCCGGCCGGTCTAGGACCGGCCGAAAACATTTGCGGAAAATCTCAACAATTTTTTTTTTTTGAGAATAGATTCCCGCAAATTTTGAACCGCGCTCGTTAAACTCCTGGAGCGAACGGAGAAAGGTGGATTCTCAGCAAATGAAAATCTGCTCGACGTCTTCGCGCGAAAGTATTGCGATACTTTCTTGAATGATCGAATCCGAGGAACAAGATGATAAATAAAATAGTAGCGTAACACAAATCTCTTTATCTGTTTCGTCGCGACGATGTAATTAAACTTTTGTATTTTGAAAACGAAAATAGAGAAAGAGAGAGAGAGAGAGAGAGAAAGAGAGAAAGCGTAAAATGCTCGAACAATTCCGATCGGCATATCTGGCGAAAGGGGGCAAATGTCTCGGCTGCGAGAAGCGCCTCGATTTAATTCCAGTTTAAAGTACTTGATGCTCTCGGGAAAAGGGTGCTTGTTTGAATTATGAACGGAAACAAAAGAGATTTAAAGTTTGAGGTAGCAGCGGACCGCGATTGATTGGGCATGAAAACGGGGGCGAAGTTTGCAGATCTAAGAGTGTTGGTGGATCCGAATGTGTGTACACTGGAAATGATGTTGACCGTGCCCCGTGGGATCTGGGAAAAGTCGCGGAAACGTTTCGGGAAAATTTCGAAAGCGGCTAGACTACCGTGTCGCGCGCGCGCTTTTTCACATCTCAACTAACTTTTCAACGAAAATCTGTAAAAGAATCGAAGAAGAATCAAATTGCGAGCGAACAAACAAACAATATTATTCGCACGTTAAAATCGAATGTAACTCCGCGAGAGGATTATTATTATTATTATTATTATTTCCTTCCGCAAAACGCGTCCGTTCTTCGCTCGCTAAGAAGATCACCGAGAGTTACAAATTCGTCACTCGGTAAGCCACTCCGGTAATCTTCCGACGTCGTTTAACGCCATATTTTGCGTAATACAGATGTACATAAGTCCTGTATATATACATATATATATATATATATACATATATACATTGAGAATATCGCACCGTGTCGGGGGAAAGAAGAAGAGAGAGAAGGTCCCGGCATTTTGCCGGTCGTCGCGATGCGGTGCGGCGCGCCAATACACAGACGGGGATAATATCGCGGGCGGTGAAACGAATTTTCCGCGAAAAGAGGGAAAGCGCGCGTCGATTACGTTACGGGGGTGTGAGCGAAGGGGGGCGTCAGAGGTTTCGGGGGTTGTCAGCGAGCGGATGATTGCGCGCCTGCGGCGTCACGGCGCTTTCGCGATGCGCCGGGTATCACGTACATAATACATAGCGTCGTACCTCCCTCGACTGGTCACCTACTTTTCTTATGGGCTTTTCACAACGAATTTATCTTCGTCACGTGCGTTTCACACAAGTCCGATTATCAAACAAATTTTGTCGTATTTAATTTTTGTTCTTCTCACGTGAAGTTACGAATTTATAAATTTTATTTTATTTGTATAAAAAAAAAAGAGATAATTACTTTGATTGAAATTAATCATTACTTTACCGATGCTTTTTAATTTGATATAAAATCTCATAAACATACTCGAGATATATTTCTTGACTCTGTGCAGAAAAATCCGTAAGTTGTTTCAGAGAAGCAAAAACGTAACTCTGACGCCGACTATATACCGTTGGCAATTAATCACGACGTCTAATTAACTCCGCCAACAAAGTACGAGCAATTTCGAGACGTGGGAGAGAATAACGTATAGGTGACACGTTAACGTATATACGAGTGTGTTCTCGCGAGAAAGTGGCGGCGGGGAGAAGGGCAAAAGGAAGGCGGACTTCGTGAAGGGGTAGAGTGTAAGGCAGAGAGGCAACCCCGGGTGTGTTTCAACCTCCTCCCCCCCTCGTGTGGACTCTCCTTAACGTTAGGAAGCTCTGCCACTAATTGAATCTCCTCTCTTACTCGCGTCTGCAGCCTCGACAACCGCTGGGAACCAGAGCACCCGTCCTGCATTAAACACCCCCGACACCCTGAGCACCCTCATCCCTGCCAAGCGGTCTCGTATCATCCGCTTCGCCCCTCCTATCCTCCTCCTCTTCCTCCTCCTCCCCTTTCTCTCTCTCTCTCTCTCTTTCTCTCTCACTGCCATGCTCACTCAACCCATCCACCTTTTCTCTTTCCACCTCGTCGCTATATCTTTCTCTCTCTCTCTCTCTCTCTCTCCACCTCCGCACAGAGAATCCCAGCCCCCGCTTAGCGTCCCAGAAAACGAGCCTCCACCGATGTTATATCGTCGTCGATGGCGAGGAACATCGACCCGTGTACTACACCTAGCCCCCCGATGCCGTGTAACTCTCATGCGAGAAAGATCAAGCTCCGCTTATTTTCCAAATATCCTCTCTCGTTAAACCGCGATGAACGCGAAAATCTAATAAGAGACTGTTATATCCTCTCTGTATTAATGATATCTCTCCTTCCTTTTTCGGTTTAGTTAGCAAATAGAGAAGAATAATTTCTTTCAACTTTTCTTTCATCATTAATCAAACGCTCCAAGTGAGAATAACGTGAATCTTGTGTATGTATGTGTGTGTGTGTGTGTGTTTGATCACTTATCGAAAGTAAATTAAAAGAAGATCAAGTAGAATTTTGCGCTCGAACGAATAGAAGTTGAGCGACGCAAACGCTTGATCGGATACGTTAAAGAAACGCAATCAAATGAGACGTCACGGGAAATTGCGACGTCGCGTGACATTGCGTATCTGTTGTGTGACACCTTCACACGGAAAGACCCCACGCGTTTTCGGGTTCTCCGGGTAATTATTGTGTACAACAAAAAGTAATACATCCAACCTGAAGTGTAATAAATTAACACGTGAAGTGTTCTTCGCGTGTTCTCACGAAGTGATATTTTAGTTTCACTTTCTTGGATTCAAATCATTTCAGCTTCTATGTGGGTATAAGGAGTGCCGATAACGCGTGAACTATTCGGTCACTGTTCTAGTGTGGTCCCGTGGACGGTTTATTTAGGAAGGTCGGTCCGGTTGACCGGCGGTTATACAGTCGATTTCTTCGTCGGTTTACACGCGAAAACACTCGAGGAAATCGAAGAAACGCCGCGGACATTTCGCAATCGCAATCATTTTTTTTTTCGATAATCTTTTGCGCGTAATTAAAATATACAGTTTGTTTTTTTTTTTAAAAAGCATGCTAAACAAATCTCGCAAAATCTTTGTGTATTGCAGAAGATATGACGCAAAAAGTACGTGTCGGAAATTTAACTAAATTTCCATCATGAAGACACGTACGCGAAACACGCGGCGAAACGTTCAAAACTATAAACAAACGTTACAATATTATTTAAATACTAAAACGTTACAACATAAAGTTTAAATAAACACTTTTTTCAACTATAAATTATATAGAACTAATTATAAGAACATAAATCCGCCAATTTGTTAATAATAAAAATTATATCGTGTTAATGTCAAATATCTGATCAAATTCTTGGGAGTGGAAAGAGAACAGGTGTGATGACAGTTAAACGATCACACACATAAAGTAAAAAATCAACCAATGATTGGCACTTTAGACCCAATGATTGACACTTTAAAGACCTACCGACCGAAGACCTTTAAAATATAATGGCGCCATATATGAAATAAAACAAATTAATCATACGTATGATGTCAAGCAAACAGTAACCGTAGACAAAAATATTGGCAACTGGAAAGAGATCAATAAGTGCCGATCATTGGGAGAGATGTTAACTACAGCTTCGGTTTTTTCTCGACGACAGAAGAAAAATGTTAAATTTTATCGACTTACCGTCCTTGTTCATGTTAGCTTCGAAACACTTAGCAAGACGACAAGCACGGCATTGATTTCTGTGAGTCTTGTCAATTGGGCAACGTCCTTTCTTGGCACCTTGAGCCTTACAGATGTACTCCCGATTGCTGTGTATACTTCGTTTGAAAAATCCCGAACAACCTAGGCGAGACACATAAAATGTACAACAACTACATCTAAAAAAATTTTAAAAAATGCAAAATTTACAAGCCGAAAAAAATTACAATTTGTTACTAACAATTCAGTGGCTTCTTTCGGTTTTAAAAAAATAAACTTTGCAGTTTTTGAAAATTTTAAAGTCAAAATCACTCAGACAGAGAAGAAGTTTTTTAGTCTGTGAGAGTTCACAAGCTCTAGTTTTACGCAAAAACAAAAAAAAATGATCACGACAATGTAATAATTACCGTCGCAACTGTAGATGCCGTAGTGTTTTCCGGAACTACGGTCACCGCATACATCACACAGTATATCAAGTAGTCTGTCTCCTGAAACAAATGTGTTGCGAGTAGCAGTATATCGTTGACATTCTATTAACAAATTATCGGAAGGAAGGAAGAGAGCGTTTAAAAGAAACTCGGTTTCTCGCGAAAAACCGTTCAAGGAAGCGAACGGGCCGCAAGATCACCGGCGCGCTAATCTGTTTCCCCCTTTTCGTAGGAACCCTAATCGTCCTAATGATCCGCGGCAAGAAAAACACGGCCGTGCCTAAGCCAACCAAAGCCTTCCTTCCCCGGCTTGGGGAATCAACCGCCTTCGCCGTCTCACACCCGACCAAACCTAACCCGATCAACCTGGGTTGTTTCAACCCCAACAGATTACCGCCTCAGTCGTGTCTGTGGAACCTTCTTCTTCTTCTTCGTCGTCGTCGTCAGAACTTCGTTGTCCCATATGTGTCGTTTAATATTCATCATATGTAAATTACATATTTGGAGAAAGTTGAACATTTGTGTGACAAAAATCGTCAATTACGTCTTTACTACTTATATATTTCTTGCCACTCTCGTGAACGTGATTTGGCTTCGCTTACTTTGAAAAAAAAAAAAAGATCGATAAAAATCGGACGGTTGTGTTGGTGCGCAGAGTTTTATCGCATACATGTGACATTTTATTAATGTCGAAAAAAATTTTTATTCGATCGTATTATTTACAACTTTAGAGTTTTCTCTCTTACAATCTTTGTGATTTTGTTAATAAAAGTTAAAAATCAAAAATTTGTTGATTTTTTCTTTCGTCACATGTATAAGCGATAAAACTATTGTAATTATTCTAACATATATATTTTTAACGCATCTCTTTGACGCACAAAAATATTTTTTTAAAAAGTCTCACATGCATGTCTTTCACGTGCACACATGTTAATAATATAATTGAAATGATTTTTAACATCGTTTACTCGAGTATTTAAATCGTTACTCATAATTTGTCGAGTTTAAAAAGTCGCGATTCATCGACAAATTTAATTCACCGGCAATCATTGTTTGCGAATGCTGCTCAAATAAAAGGTCACACAAAAAAATGTGTCAAATTCTAAACAATCACTAATTATCTACGAACAGATTGATACTTGAAACGTTTTTGATCACTAATCGATTTGGCACATTTTTTTTTTTTTTTTTTAAACTAAGTCGCGCGATTCCAACACGAAAAAATGGTGAAAACATCTGACAACACCGTTGATTATCTCTCGATCCTGCGTCCGCGAAGATAGAAAGGATTTAACACTAAATTTCGAAAAAAAAAAAAAAAAAAAAAGCATCGTTCAAATCACTGTCACGTCGCACACCGCAAAGTCGCTTAACATATGATTGCACTTGTAGCTTTAAAACTTTTTACCATTCGCCACGTGTGTGCAAAACTAATATAAAAGCGAGAAAGGGGGGAGGCGGCAAGAGTCTTAAGAGACTGACCTGTGCCCATCTCCTCCGCAGCTACTCAAAAGTCGAACATCGCCAGAGAATGACGTATAGCCCAGTCCGACGTGGTCCCGACACGGCGCCGAGATGGTCGCACAAAGTCCCGAAGCATTCTCCGTGACGGGGTGGCTTCGGAGCCTCGGCATACCTACTCATCTCCCTCTCGTCGGGAAGGGCGTACTCGTGCACTGGTGTCCGTGGCTGCGTGTACATGTACCGCGTGTACGTGTGTACGAGGGGTTTGTTATACGTGTGGACGTCTATCGGTGTATATGCGCATATAGAGGTTGTTGCCCGACTGGCTGCCAGAGCAGCTATCTCTCCTGTCCACAGCCACATCACGGAGAATCATGGGTCGTTCCCCGATATGGTCGACATGGTTCGGCGGTGGGTCCGCAAGGGGGGTTGAGTCAGAGTATATGGAAGCATCGAGGGGTGGGAAAAGGGTAGGAAGGTAGATAGGTAGGTAGATAGGTAGGTACGTAGGTAGTATAGGTGGATGGTCTGGGTGGTTGATTGCCTAGTGCGAACCAACACACCGATGCCAATCCCTAAACGACCGCGAGTCGCGGTGAGGAGGCCACGGCGATGGCGTATACTGGAGTTACGTCACGCGAATCCGCGGCGTAACACCTCTTCTTCACCTCTGCCGCCGCCGCCGCCGCCGCCGTAGTTGGCACATCATCGGTGGCTTCGAAGAGGGGAATGGAAAAGGGTTGTTGGAGAGACAGAGTGGGGAATCCCAGCGAGCTAGCGACTAGACTCGCGTCCCGGGGACTTGCTGGCCGAGTGGCTGCCTCAACTATAGCGGAGTAGCGCTAGTTAGCCATCGGCAACGGGGGCGGCTCCCGTAGCCACGTTGTCAGACGGTCGTTACCACTGTGTCATTGGTCGACTCCACCCACGACGGCGCGGAGGGATGGTGGGCGGCGCCAGACCTATCGGCGACGCTGATTCGGCGACGAGTTACCGGTCGCCTAACGCCGGCCAATCGACAATACGGGATTAGGTTGGCTGACGACTACGTTAACATCTGCCTTTCGGCAGCCAGCCAACGTTATTTATCAGCGACATGCTAGCGGCGGCGTTCCTGCTTTTTCACAATATACTTACAGATTGGTGGGAGAGAGGAAGAGAGAAAGGAGAGATAATGGCCAATGCAAAATGAATATACGTGGGTTTCGTGACACTCGTTGACATTCTACAAATCTGAGACAAAATAACATGAAAATTAAAAGATTATTTAAAAAATTACAAACTTACAAATTTGTCAGTAACTCGTAAAATATGATTATTATTAATATGCAAGTGACAAATGAGATTATGAAGGAAGGGAACTTATCTGGTGGAAGGAGTTATATCGATTAGGCCATTTTGTCGGAGTTATGTAACAACGCATCTCTCCTCCAGAGAGCAATATGTCTGTGAGGGCGCGCGACGCTACTATATCGATCACCTCGTTGACTTTCCGACTCGACCAGTCGGTAAACACCATCTTGAGTTCAGTTTTTTTCTCGTTAAGCAAAAACTCGGAACTAAAAATAAATTAAATATTTACATTTGTTTTTTGCATGTCATAAGGAACTGTATTTTACTGCAATAATTTTTTTTACATGTTTTTTTTCTTTTACAAAGAGAACAATTTTTGTCATTTTTCTGTCTTACCTCCTCGTCAGAAGTTTCAAACATAGATTGCGAGAAAATTCTCAATACAATAATTATTATGATATACGTAACATTTAAATAAGTCATAATCATCACTAATAAACACCTACAGTTATTGTGTGAGGACTAAAAATTCAATAATTATACATTATAGCATTTTCACATCAGTTTTTGGGGAGTAAAAATTATTTATACCTGTGCTTGTACACATTCGGGAGATGCATTAACGTCTTCCGAACGAATGTAAGGTTGTCGTCGCGGAAAGGGAAGCCCTTATTTACTTCCTCTTTGAAAGACATTAATGTACAGTACAGCAGTTCCCCGTTAAGAAGAACATTCATTCGGTTCAAGAATAGTCTCTATTCCCACTGCGGCAGAAAAATCTGCTACCGCGCTGAGAGCTTTTGATTCTATATCGCAACAAGAATCGCACACCACATGCCGTTTCTCACTTCTGACATCATAAAAGCAATATGGCTACCAGCGAGAAGCAACCAACCTTTAACGGGACACTACTTGTACGTATGGCCTGTGTACGCGCACAAACGTACACGAAAGTACGTTTAACTATCTTGTGGGGGAAGGAAGAGGAAACGTATAAATCTTAGAACTTACGAAACTTTACGAGCTATACATGTTACAGTTTAGTCTGCAGCACTTGATATGCTATACAGCAGCGCTGGTACTGTATTACTTCAGAACACAAGCACTAACATCGTGTTCCTAAGACGGCATGTCGTTCAGTCGACACTGATGTAGCAGGTCCTGCAGTTGATCTTGCAACTGAGCGTATCGCACCTGCAGAGAACGTTCTCGCTCGGTCTGTCTGTTCACGTCTTCCATAAGCGCGTTTATTCTTCTCGGAACCGCCGCCTCTTCTTGCGTTTGCAAGAACTTAAACGTAGACAATTCAAGATGCGCTTGCTCTATCTGCTCCCCCAAGTCGTGCAACTGTTTCGTCAGCACCTGTGCTCTGGTCTGTTTAGTAAATTAAAAAAGTGCCAATTTGTTATTTTTCCTCACAAATTTCTATTGAATAATTTTTCATCCAAACGTTATATCAAATTTCGATTATCTCTCGTTTACCTGATAACCTCCGGTGAGTATTTTCAACTTCTTTTCCATTTTCGCCGCGCGTTTAGCCTCGCCCGTCATGTGCATACGATTTTCCTCCAACTTCCTCTCGCGCGCTTCGATTCTGTCCTTTTTCGAGGCCAGTGTCGCGCGAGTGTATCGTTTCTGAGTTTCAAGATACAGAAACTCCAACAGGCATTCCTCCCACACGGTGGTATACGCGTCCAAGCTCAAATCGCCGTGCGCCATTCCTTCTTTCACAACTGCCATTTCGTCAGTCAACATTTTCTTAGCCTACGACCAGTATAACAATATATCAATGTACTAATAATGCAGAAATGCGAAAAAGAATTTTACAATGCACGTTTTATATTTACATCGGAAAGGTCGTTTTCTTCAAAAACATCGTAGGGGTGTTGGTCCAGATAAGCTTGAGCCTGAGCCAACGACGTCGCAGCGCCCTTTCGAGTCTGTACCGGCTGTGTTGGATTTTGTAACGCGTCGTAATGCAACATTGTGATCATTTCTCTCTTTATCAATTCTTCTGCCTAAAAATAAATTCACGGAAAGCAGCGTAGACAAGTAGACTTTATATTAAAATAGAAAGAAATTATGAGAATATTTTAAGTGTTATTACTCTCTGCAAGTCGGTCAGTGGCGCGTCCATGTAAGGTCTCAAAATATTCATATTTATATCCGCAGGTCGAGGCAAATCCCTCTGTATTACTTGCGACCTACGTGCTAATTCTTTCTTTCCTAAAACAAATACAAATTTTTATATTTATTGTGAGTTACTTTATGAGAATTTCTGTCTGTGCGTGTATTTATTACTTCAACTTTTTAGTTTTATTTTACATTGTGACGACAATAACAACTTCTGCGCGAGGTATCTACACCATGACAACTTTAATTTAATATTATAATTTGTACATTACGACTGAAGACGACATCTGTGAATGTCGAAACGTTGTCGTATTAAATACTGTGTTAATTATTAATTGAACTTTTAATATTTCACAACTCCATCTTATTTGCTCGATACTGATCTCACATTGAGATATAAAAAAAAACAAAATTATTTATTGTATCTCTAAAGAAAACTATTTCACGAATTTACTTTGTTCCAATATTTCTTGTTGCTGTCTCGCATCGACGTCCGCCTGGTCCTCGATTATATCCGTTGCGGGTGCGGGAGCTTCCTCGTTCGTCTCAGCGTCGCCGATGTCTATCTCGTAATCGTTACACGGCGCCGGAAGGGAACTCAACGCCGCGCGTAAAGTGCTCTTTCCTTGCGAGTTCTGTACGAGAGGAGTTTCCGATCCGTCCGCGCTCTCGTCTGGATTTATATTCAGCTTGTCGCGAACGGGGGTTGCCGCCAAAACGCCGTTTTGCGTTCGCACCGACGCTCCGCCCGGCGTGTTGAACGAATTCATGGGCGTTCCGTCACTGCGTTGCGAACGAAACGGCGTTGCCAGAACCGTATTCGGTGTTGCGACGACATTGTTCGGAGGCACAACGCCAGTAAAGTCCGGATTATTCAACGGAGTGTTTGCCCCACCTGTGAGACAAATTCAGTAGTCCGATATTTTTCGCAAATTTGATTTGACGGTTTATTAAAAAAGAAAAAAAAACTAAAATTATTATATTCCAACCCTTTAACGGAGTGTCTACGTGCGTGAGAGCCATGACATTTTGAGCTTCTAACAATATTCTGTCCGTAGTGGCTGGTGTACGAGGTGTTACCGCCGCATTCGTAGGCAAAGAATAGTCGGCCAGCAAACTGTCGGACAATGTGATGCCGCTCTCGGTAGCGACTTCTCGCGCAACCTTTAACATCAGACGGATGTGCAATAAGTATTGATGTTGTGATTTTTTGTAAAACTTATAAAACATATTAAGAATGAAGAACATACTTCCGAAGCTCTACCAAGTTTTACAACTTGCTCCAGTTCCTGATCAGATATTTGCGGTTCTGGCAAGACCAGTTTGCTTCTTTTCTTCACGGGCTCTTCGTTGTTGAGCATACCTATGGGTATATCATTTTCCTTGCGTTGCTTCAACTTCTGTTTGTCTTTCTTACGTTCCATTTCCTCCTTCTCTTGCCGAAGCTCGCCATCTAAGTGCTGTTGTCTCATTCGAGAAAAGTCAATGGCTAGAGGATCAACGTGTTCATTGGAAGTATCGTAGAAACCGGACGCAGGCCGTTTCTCAAACGGTATTTCCGTGTTATAATTCACGCCGCGTTTACGTTTGTTCTTCTGAGACACGGTAATTCCAGCGGCTCTCAATTCCCGTCGTTTCTGCAGAGCCGCTAGTCTTCTTGCCTCTTCCAACTGTTTCTCACGCGCTTTGCGTTTCGCCTTCTTGCCCTGTGTATTGGCAAGTCTAGCACGCGCTTCAGACAACATTTCCAATTCTGCAAAAAAAATTATACATCTTTTTTTTTCGCCATAAAACATGTACTTGCTTTACTGCACCTAATCTAACGTATCAATTATCTCTGCTGTATTTAACAATAAGCAGTCTAATTGTACCATCTTCGTCCATATCTTTGGGATCAGGTCTTGCCGGTTTTGTCTCCGGATTGGGATCAATTTCGCCAGGTTTAAGTTTACGAGGATCATCAACCGCATCATCTCCTTCCTCCTTTTTCTGTGCCTGGTCACTAGATAAATTAATTGTACGATACAATCCACAGATTACGTATTTTAAATAACAATGATAAAATATTCAAATCTCTACAAATGAAACATTGCTTACAGTAAATACTCATATCTCTCCAAGCACTGAGCGGCCGTTCTGCCAATAATGGGTGCGATTGTTCGCCACTGGGTGGGCATTAACTTCGCAAGATGTAGCAATTTTTCATCCTCTTCTCTACTCCACTCGGTTTTCTTTATACTAGGATCCAACCATTCGAACCAACGGGCTTTGCACTGCTTGGCCGATTTTCTGTGCAGTAGAGAAGCTATACGACTCCATTGATTTTTCCCATATTTCATTACCGCTGCTTTCAGAATTTCATCCTAAAAACAAAAATTTGGTTTTTTGTCATTTGATGATGACAATACCACACAAATCGCCGATTGTTTTTTTCAGGTTAGAAAATTTGTATTTTCTTTTTTAACACCCACCTCCGTGTTCCGCCACACACCGCCTTTTATCATAATTCGCGGCATTTTGTAATAAACTTTATCTCGTTTATCGCTGTGGCACCCAAAATTATACTTTCACTGAAAAATGAAATATTAAAGAAAAATAAGAATCAAACAAATTTTTTTTCGACTTCTCTGCGCGTTTCTTACGGACATGTGTCACACAGATGTCTGAGAAAACGACTACGATTATACATTTTTGTTTTCGAGCACCGCGCGACGTGTACAACTTGCGAACTAGCTCCGTGTAGTCTGCATGTTCAGTTCGATCAAACCCCATGTCCAATTTCTTCCATACCAACCGAGTTGTTAAAGTCATCTCATTTCTTTATTTGCTACGGAATGTGACATTCGCGTACATACATACATACATACGTATACACACGTACGTAGAGCGCACAGTTGTTGTTAGATATGTAGCGCACGTATATATGTAACGTGTTATTTTATATTTGAGGTTAAAGCATGCTTCATCAGTTGGCAATGAAACTCAGCGTGATTTAAAAAGTTGCTGATTAATTATTTATTTTTTTTTTTTTATCGAGTTCCGTTGTGATTCCGAAAAACTGATAACATGATAGGCAAGCAAAGCCAGCCCGATGACAGCGAGGATAATAAGTTGCGAATAAAGCTCATAACGGACAAACGGAAGTTCTTGGAAGAAAAATACGCTCAGGTGCGCACAAGTTTCAATATTATACCTCGTTTATGTTAAATAAATGCGCTCGGAGTCACTTTGCGGTATCAAATATTGTTAGTTTCTAACTTTGATTCCTGATTGCGAAATGATAAAAAAAAACAAATTTTTTCACACAGATTGAAAACGAGATCAGAAGTTGCTTCAAGGAGTTGGCGGAGGTTTTGCAAACCAGGGAGAAGCAGCTGCTGCGCCAAGCCGAAGCTATTTACAGACAGCAGCTCTCGCTGGTCGAGACTTCGTTGGATTTTCTGCCCTCATCGCTGGTAGTTCTCGACAACAGAAGCGAATTGGAGAAGAAGATACGTCAGTTCGGTAATATCGAAGTACACGGATCAAACGGTATTACGGTGAAAGATGTAGAGCCGTACAAGGTAGCCGACTATCAGGATGCCAACAACGACCACGTTAGTTTCGACAAATCGATCACGTGTAAGAAAACCCAAGATCTAACTCTCCCACGTTGCAAGGACCTGATATCGGATTACAAAACTTTGCATTCTTCAGACCTACCTCTTTCCTTCCTTGTGGAAAACAAGTCACAAAGTTCGCAAAATGTAAAAGACAATGACGCACTGATGACCTTCAAAGACAGTCTGTTCCTGTCGGGATGGTCGCCGTTTCTGATCATAAAACGCAAACTCGGTCTGGCACACGTGTCCCTGGACGGATTGCACGCGTTCGACAAGGCTTATCCGCGAAACGTTCGATCTTTCGATACGCCTTGTGACACGACGAAATCTTGCGAATTGAATATTCTGACGCACAAAACCGCGGGAGTGAATTTGCGAAATAATGATAAAAAAATCTTGAACAAAGATAAAGAAGATTCCGAACTGAGCGCATATACCAAGGAAAAGCAAGACAACAATTACGAGCATCCGATACAGGTGCAGCATTGGTTACGGCAGATTCTCGCGGAGACCGAAATAGAGCCCGCGATTCACGAAATCGGCCAATTTTCCGAGATATCCAAGGCGAAGCTCTACAACGGTCTGTAGTCGTTCTCTCTCGCGCTCTCGTCACACTCAGTATTTCGATTGGGGCCAAAGTTTCCAGAGCAAATGGAAAGCGAATTAATCGAAAAAGGCTGATCTATTTTAGACTTATTTTTACACGTTCGTCACACGTACACACACGCTGGATTTTTTAATTTTACATAAATGTTTTGTAATTTACGTATATATAGATTATAAAAAAAAAAAAAAAAAAAGAAACGTCCTCTTTTTGCGGTGTAATTTGAAAAGAGGGACAGAACACGTAAAGGACGGAGACACACGTGTGAACGAAGGAGAAAGAAAAAGAGAATACGTGTGAAAATTTATTGCATTACATCGACAGAGAGTTTTCGGAGTATCTCGGCGATAGATCCTCGATTGCGTAGCGTGTACAACAAAGTGTTGCTCTCATAAATTGACGAGTGTTCTCTTTCAAACAATACTAATTGGAAATGTTTCCAATCACATAATTTTATAAGACTATTTATTCAACTAAAAAGAGGTATTTATTTTAACATATATATACATACGTACATATATATATATATATATATATATATATATATATATATATATATGTTTTCAGTTATCATACGCGCAGCTTACTATGCTATGTCATTTTTTTTTTGTTTTTTTATCGTTCATCATTTGATGAGCAGTATATATATATTGGTCCATGAATTTTAACCGCGAACAAACGGGGAATCAAGTTATTACGGACGTAAGGTTTGTTTGTTTTTTTTTTTTTCAAGCGATATTTTTATAAATAAAATCCACAAAATTGTGTAATTCAATCGTCATTGATACAATTGTAATTCCAATTTCGTCCCCTTGGCTTGTACAATTAGTTTGTGCGTCATAGATGTCAATGCGATTTTGCTAACTCGGCTATAATATAATTCGTGTTGTGTGCTTTTTGCGTTTGCGTGCTTTGTGTGTGAGGATTTGTAATTCTCAATATTTGTGTATATTTAAACACCGAACGAAAATAAGAATCCGGAACTGTTTCAGATTTCAAACGACGCCGCTTGGTAGGTCAGTGTCGCGCGTTCTGATCCGGTTTGAAAAAAAAATTATTAGAGACGAGGAGGTCCGAGTGATTCGCTATTTATTAAGTTGTGTGGAGACACACACACACACACACACACATACATACACAAAAGACTATTTATCCGGTAAAGATCAAAAAGTTTCAAAGAATTGGATCTCTGCGTGTAAAATTTATATATTTGCTCTTACCGAAGTCGAAAGATTTCTCAAGCACTGAGTTCGTCGTTTTTTTGAAATTTCGATAATTCCTAGCGGAGCTGCTAGCTGTATCTATCGAGCGACTACTAGTTAAGAATAATATTTAGGGTAGAGATCAGGGGTTTCCGAAAGTTCTCGCATCTCTGGATCTCGGTTGTGCAATCGCTCCCGGTCCAGAATCGAGAATCTTCGTCGACCGGTTATAATTAAGCGTCTTATCACCTTGAGCTGATTACCGTGCATCTTATCGCATTCTGATTGCGCTCAATATGCTCAACATTTCGTATAATATAAATACTTCGCGTTCGGCATCTCGCGCCCAGTACGTTCCGCGTTCTTCGGTTTCTTTGTACAACAATGCGCTTTCGCGTTCAAAACTTTCCGCTGTGCAGGAAGAACATGCGAGTTCACAGGATGTAACATTTGGTAGTAAAACAGATATATTTATATTTGAAAAAACATGTGCTTTTTTTTATATCATTTTTAATACTGAGAAAGAGAGATGTGTGATCTTCAATAAATTAATAATTGTTTGTTTATAAAATTGCATAAGAGAGGATAGAATAATTTTTTGTTTTTGCGAATACCTAGCATTATTCTCTATAATTCATTTAATTCACTTGTGTAGAGTCAGATAGGACTTGTGCATTTTCTTAACCCCAAACCGTATAAAACTCGAAGAAAACCAAACGTTTTGATAAGAACAAAAGCGGTCAAAGTTGAGACGCAACGTGCAACATATGTAATACGTTTTCGAATACGAACTACGAGTAAAAATTTCGCGTAAATCATTTATCTTGCACCATTATACCGAGATATATCAATGGTACGTCATTGTAGCATTGAGAATTTGGTCCCCAAGGTGAGACCACTATGTTCCTAAATTGCAACGCATCTGCTTTTATTAGAATGAGAATATTATCTCATTCTCTCTCCTTACCGTTTATTTCATCATTGGTCTGTTTCTCTTTCTGTCGCACTGGCTCATCCTGTACACCTTTCTACGGATCGAGAGTTATTAAATAGTACACGCCTATAAGTCACATCTATATTTTTTATGTAATTTACATATAAATTTTGCTTTTTAAAAATTTTTATTTTTTAATAAAATTGAATTTTAAGAGAGTTTTTGGTGATATGACAAAATGTATTTTAATACGAAAATTCTCAATATCACCACGCATGTTTATACTTGAGTAATACTAAATGTTTAATTGAGATTGTACATCGATATGTATGCGTCAAAGTAATTTATACTGTTTAGGGTTAAGCAACTTGTAATACGCAATATGTTTTACGAATCGTTTTTAAATCAGTGAGAAATATCTGCTAGAAAAATAATTTATCCTGACAACTGACCTTATATCGTGTTCTTACATACGGAGTCTTACACAATACAAAATATATTTATATATATTATGTGTGTACATATCTTGATACATATATATGCGATAAATATATACATATTTAAAATATGTATACACATCTCGACATACATGTGTATTTTATCGAAACGCAAAAATTTATCACACGGATAAAAGCAAGTCGGTCGCGACGAAATATCGAAGTGAGAAAAAGAAGAAAAACAAATAATAACGTATTTGTTACTGTTGTCAATCCTTTTAAGACATAATGTAAAAATTGACAAGACGATTACGTGCTAAAAGTTTGAAGTTTAAAACATTCCTCTAAAATAACAACTGCTAGTTTTTTAGCAATTAATTCAAAGAGAAAATAAAAAATCTTGCGTCACAAAGATGAAATTTCACTAATGGAATTTTGATACATTTTATCAAAAAAAAAAAAGGGGGGGGAATATTATATATATAGAGCACCTTTGAATTCTTATAAACAGCAGTTGTAAACAATGTTCATATCGGTACTTAAAATATCGAAGAATAATAATGGAAGAGAGAGATTGATCGAATTTGCAAAGCAAAAGTTAATTACTACTGTCAAACCGTTCTATAAAACAACGGATAAAAGTGCGATGAACAAAAATAATGCATAATTGAAAACTTCAAGAAAACCTTACAAATTTCTTTTGCTAAATAACAAAAGAAATATAATTAAAAGAAATTTACATACTTTTAAAACCAAAGAAAAAGCATATTAAAAATTATGTAAAAATCTTTTAAAATGTTTGCATTTCACTTTACTTCCAATCTTTCAATAGCTTAAACTATAAAGTATCTTAAAACCATTAAAAAAATGTAGCAATTAAAGATTGATTGAAGTTTGATTAATCTCGCTCAGGAACTAATGTTATTAATTAACAAAGCTAGAACTAGAGGATGAAGTTTCCGTCATAAAAGTGGTAGCGGATTGTGAGGAGGCCGCTTTGGCATGGTCCTCCGAGTACTGCTCTTACTCCATCATTTCATTGAGACTTGATAGAAGATCCATTCTTCGAAGAAGGATGGGACGAAGGCTCGAGCCGTCGTGAACTTGACGGGTACGCACAGTTGCGACAGGACGTCTTCGTACATCTTCAAAGATTCTGGACAGGATGCGCCATTTCCCTGCGTTCCGAAAACAAATGAACAAACACAGCGTGTTTTACAACATATGTTTAAACTGAGATCGAATTTATTTATTTATTTATTTTTTTCTATTAGTCGCTTTTTCGATTAGAACCACTTTATCGAGCGATCAGTGAAATCAAATGCACACATTGAATGAAATGTAGCGCACACGGATACTCACATGCGTCATGTACTTCCCGGTAGGCTTTAATACCTTCATTGAAGAGTTTAAAATTAGTCTAATGAAGTCCCATGCGTCACCGTGCGGCGTTGTGCTAATAGGAATATCTGTCAGATCGCCGAAGACGTAATCGAACTGCCGTCCTTCCTCGATCATATGTGCTAGTGCTTTCACGCAATCGCCGACAATAATCTGGAAAACGTTATTATTTGTGTGAATTAAAAACAAAATTCCACAAGAATCCGCGGGGATCTTGAATTTTATAGAAAATTCAAAGAACTTGCGAAGATATCGGAATCTGCAAGTGGTACTTATGTGAAGATTCCAAACTCTTACTTCGTAATTATCGCCTTTTTTCTTGTCTAGGCAATCGCCGCATATGCTCCGCATGTGTTCGCTGCAGGCTTTCATGACAATGTCGTCGATCTGCAAACAAACGTAAACGCACACACGTAGTGTTTTCACTCACACTCTTCGCGCGAAATCGTGCAGAAATTTGCAAAAAATACGCAATTCACGTACTTCCAGCATGGTGACAAATTTCGGCTTCTCCTTCAGCAACTCCCACAATAGGCCGCCATCGCCACCGCCGAGTATCACTATCTCTTTCCCGGCGTAGTTTTCCCTGCCGCGTTGCATCAGTGTCTCGGTGTATATGAGATCCGCCTCGGACATGTCTGTGAAGCAAGTGGAGAAGTTTATATTTTCAAGTTTTTTTTCTTTTTCGCGTGGATCGGTAAAACAACCGTGAGGAAATTCGCACAATCCGACTCACTTTGCAGCTCATCGAGTACCAGTAGATTGCCTAGCGTCTTGGAGTGCACGATTTGCACCTTCTGGTACGGTGATCTGGCCTCGAAAACAAGTTTGTCTATGTCGTATTCTAGGAGCCGCTCGTCTTGAATAAGGACAAAACATCATTCGCAACAATGCTGCGCTCGGTTTATAATTTTTGCAATTTTAGTATAAAAACTTGAAACTTGGAACATGCTTCTATACATGAAAAAACATTGCAGAAAATAGTAAACGGGATATATTATGGCAAGGCAAAGCTGAGATATGTGAATACACGCATGGGAAACGTCAGCATCATAACAAGGAAAAACAACACGAATAAATGTTGGTAAAGAAAAAACACTATTAAAAACTAAATGCTATCTGTGTCATGCAAGAACTGATAGGGAGAGGGGAAGGTGAGGGAGGGAGGTAATATGTCCTCGTAATTACAAATGTCGAAAGTTCTAACGCGAAGACGGATGCGAACGTGTACGTTCCAAACTGAACTGCGTCGAGCACATCACGGGAAGGATTTCTCTTGACAAAGTGCGTGACTACCGAGTAGAAGAGAGGTGTCTAGTATCAGAAATCGCCAAGCCCCTATTTACTTTACGAAAGCTTTTAACGATAAAAAAAAAAAAAAAAAAAAAAAAAAAAATCACATCTCAAATTAAAAACTTTATGGGTCTCGTGGCTTGATGAGTTTTGATCTTAAACGCCTCAGAGATTTATTTGCGACGAGATTTCTTTGGTACGACTTTCCAGACTCGTAGAACAGTTTGTTCAGTGTGAGACAAAAGCGAGGCGTGAGGACATTTTTTTTTTAAATTTTTTTATACAAACATTTACGAATCGATGTGTAATACTAGTTTTGTTTTTTTTTTCCAAATCGATCGAGTTCCTTAAGTGTAAACAGTTTTTTTCCCTTGTAATAGTGGTCGTTATAGCTGGTCCGTAAACATAATTATAAATAAAAACTCACCGGAGGTAGGATAGTATCTCTCAAAGGGTCCACCGCGTTTAATCGGGGTAAGCGTATGCGACCGTGTAGCGGTTGCCGCTGTCTGCAGTGCGATTTCCAATTCTTTCGCCAACTACCACGATTGGCCATCATCATTGTCATCATCATCATCATCATCATCGTCATTGTCATCACCATCATCATCATCATCATCATTGCCATCATCATCATTATCGTCATTATTATTATCATTATCATCATCATCATCATCAAGCCGAACCAATGAATGAACAGAACAAAGACACTATCTTGTAAAACGGAATCGCTACACTCCTTGTTGTTAAGGAAGCTAAAAAAAGGTGTCAAGATCTGGCAAGCCATGATATATGGCAGGGCTTATCTTCGTCCAACAAAATGATAAAACAAGCGGCAAAACGCGCGGATTATGATACAAAGTAACACTGTGCGCATATGTCTGGTGTGTAATCTGAATCGTACGACTAAAAGTAACGGTATCCAAGATGTAGAAAATTATTACAAGAGATGTACAGATTCCATTGTTACATTTGAGAAACTCAAGGATTCGAACTCCGAAGAAGACAAGACGCGATAAAAAAAAAAAAAAAAAAATAAAACAAACTTGTTAGGAAAATATATAATAAATTATTTTGTAAAAAGAACAATATACACAATATATATAATTATTGCACAAATTATTACACATATACACGACAAATGTACACAACAAAAGCGTGGTTCTTAAATTAGCCTCGCGTTCTCGTATGGATTTTATTTCTTAACAGAATCTTTTGAACTCGAATAGGAAAAATACAACAATTTCACTCGTGTGAAATTATTGTAAAGGAGAATAAACAGTTTATATTCAAAACGACCTTTAATGCGCACAAATACACGGACGTTATGGTAATATAAAAATTGAATATAATTTGTAACAGTAAGAACGTTTCCACCTGTGTGCGCGCTGTTATCACGTCACATAAAGATTACAGAAGAATGTTGCGAAATATAAAGCGCTACGTCAGGAAAAAAAGATACATAATAGTTTTTTTATGACTTTGTTTTTCACAATTTACAGAGTCTAAAGTAATTTCTATATAAATGATAAATTTGTAATAATAATTTTATAGTTTATAATTTATTTATATGATTTATTAGTGTATTTTTTTTTTATTTCCGCGTATTTTACACATGTGTGCTATTTTGTTAAACTGACGAAGATCCAGTGCGAATAGAAACATTTTGCTGCTATGTGAATAACATTCAATGTTTAACATTACCTCAACATCTGTATTTCTAATCATTAGAGAGGCCTTTTTGAACATATAATTCGAATAATACAAATTGTCTTGAGAAACTTTCTAGTTTAGCAACAAGAGAGAAAGAAAAATGTAACAAAATTTCACAATAATAATTTGTAATATCATGTGTTTAAATCAAGTTCACTTGTAACGAATTATGCCCTACAGTTTTTTTTAAACACTTTGTTCGGGAACTTTTATTCGTACGACCGAGAAGATACAAAAAAAAAAAAAAAAAATTAACTGTAGAGTATATTTGAATGAATAGTTAAATTCTTTTTTGTAAAAAATTAAGTGCTGGATATAAAAAAGAGTTTGGGAACGTAATAGTGCTGGGAGAAAATTAAATTAGCATTCTCGGCAAGCGACCTATCCTAAATATCTATTAGTAACAGTCAATAGCGATTATAACTCTCTCTCTTTTTTTTTCTATATATATATATATGTATGTGTGTATATATATATATATACGTGGCAAATGTTTCATGATAAATATCTACAAGTATATAAAGTATGTGTTAGAAATAACCGAGGAATAAAATCTAATTGAGGGAAAGCATTTTCTACCTGATAGTGTCAGATAGAGGTCATATATGGTTCCTCGTCTTACTGGAGGTAAACGCTTGCTGCGCTGGCTGTTCAAAGCCATGGCAACATCAGCTTCCAAGTATCGCCACTGCTACAACGTTCTGTCAGTTATGTCATATTTCCTACTTTTGTCACAGAAATGTGTTTACAGAATATTAAAGAAAACAAGATTTTTAAACTAAGAGAGAGTGTAGGACATTTATACTCACAAAAACTGAAGAAGAATATAGTTTATCAAATTTTTTGATTAATTTTTATTCAGTTCAGTGAATATTAAATGCCGCTCAAGTCTTCAATCTTTTTCTTTAATGCACTGTGTTATTTCTATTTCACTTGACAAGTCACATAAATTTTCTTTAGTTTGTCAATTGTTGTGAAACAAGTATTTTAATTTGATCTTGAATTTTATCACATAAACATTAAAATTATTATTCTGTTATGAGATATTGTTTGTCAAATTCGTTAAAAGTTTTTAAAAAAAGCTTATGTTACTACTTTTTCTTTCTCTCTACGCCCATGTTTTTTGACATATGGCTTCTCTTTACACATATGTCAGAAAAGTTTGGTATATAATATACATAACAATGTTGTTATTCAACTAATATTTAATCTTTGTTACAACCTCGATTTATTGAAAAATATTTCTAATCTAATTAAATATTTTCTTGACTGATAAAAATTCAGTGAGAACAAAAATGTTCCAATAAATTGAGATTGTGTAACAAAAATTAATAATGTAATAATTTAAATTTTTTTTAGTAGTGAACTTTGGTCTGGACATTGTAAGTCATATTTCCTCTAGTTTATCAATACGTCACATATTTTCTCTAATATTAGTTTATCAACTGTTTATAGGACATTTCTTATCTTTAAACATTTAGTATATATATATAGATTGATTTAGAATAACAACTTGATATACATACCTCAAAAGTTAAAAGGGCCTCTTGGTCGTCTTGCTTATAATACTCGATGTTTAGAGTAATCAGACCTTCTGTGTACCCTCTAACAGTGATTAGACTACCTCTTGGTCCGGTATATAAAACAAGCAGACTGCCATCGATATTAGATTCCGTTAATGGCTTGAGACCAACAAAATGTTCAGACAACACATTGGCAATGGCTGATTTCAGGCCCGATCGCTGTTCCATATCAGCAATCATATTGCTGGACACGGTGAAGTCCAAGAGTACCGTATGAGCTACCATTATGCTGTAATATCAAATCATGTCATGGAGAGATAACAAGGTGTCACTTTTTATACACATTCTCATTGAGAGCTTGACTACCTCCAATTGCTCGCGATTAAATCAATTGGTTGATCAATTCACGGAATTGGTCAATGTGATTAAATAAGAATTTACGTATCTTATCTTATCTTATATTACGATTACACAAACGATAAATTGTGTCGTGTTTGTGAAATACAGACTACATAAAATTTCAATATCTGTATATTTTTCAAAGTATATATAATATATATATTTTTTTAATATTGCATATTTACAAAAACGTTGTATCGTCTAATCTAATACAATAAAATTGAGGGTTACGTGGCACGCTGTGAATCCGCGACATGTGGCAAGTATTATAAATATATGCCTGAAAATTGGCAATGCCAGGAAAGAGCGAGAGGAAAGATGATAGAGGAAAATACACAACATTACATAATTAATAGAAATTTCCTCTTAGGAAAAATTGTGTCATTACGTGTCCTATACACGTCGCCGTTTAATTGATTCAATTTAACAGGTAGTTGTCAATAACAATCACAACGGATTATATTGACAAGCCGGAGGTCGTTTGTTTGTTTGTTTGTTTATACTCACATAATTATGCAATAAATCGCTTATTAACACGCTGCCCGTCCAACGGAACATACACACACGTAAAATCGCGTTGCGCACTGATGGTGCTCCCAGTCCCAAATGAATAGACGAAAAAAATCAAATACCGGGACTCGGGAGATTTGCGTTCCCTTCCTCTGCACTAAGCTGCACTAGAACTGCGATTGGACAGGCGACGGTAAGGGCGGAAGCACAAACTCTTGCATAACGTGCAAGAAAACAAACCAATCGGAGTCCTTCGTTTCCCTCCTCAGGCTGAGGAAATAAAGGACTCTGATTGGTTTGTCGCATTACGCGTTATACAAAAGCTCGGGCCAATAATGTCCTTCGGAGGGAAAACGACGGCTTTTCTCTCCTCGACTTTGGTTTTCTTCTTCCGCACCGATCGGTTCAGAACGAAATAATTAACTCACTTCGATTCGATTGACACTGCGATTTTAATCATTTTATGTATCATATATATATATATATATATATGTATGTGTGTATATATATATATATGTATATAGTAAATGTACATGTAGTTACAATTATGACACCACAATTTATCCATTCCACGTATGTATGGAGATATGTATAAATTAGACAAACAGCTTGAAATAAAACACATAAAATCAATGATTTTATAACACATAGATTTTCTTTGTTCCTCTCGGTCTTTTTTGTTGCTGTTCCTTTTCATGATTCTTCTTTTAAACATTTCCCGGATCCCCTTTTTTTTTTATATATTCGTTCGTAAATTGTACATTATTTTCTTTCGCGCGGATAAAAATCAGATTTTACTCGCAGAAAGTGGCATTTTCAAATTCTGTTGTTGATTAACGTGTAACATCTCCGATCATTACAAGACAATACAACACATGAATATTTACGTATGGGAGGAAATATATTCTCGTATCATTCTTGGCATTTAAAAAGTATAAAGATTAGAAAAGTTTCTTAATAATACTTTATATATGCCAGCTTTCACGTCGCACCACATGGGGCAGCTTATTCTTCTAGGAAAAAGTATTGCCCGGCTCTCTTTTGCTCCAAATCCTATTTAAAACAAAACAAAACAAAACAAAAATCAAATTTTAACGTACATGATTTTTCAACACGTAAAATTATATAAAATATAAAATTTAAACATCGAGTATTAAATAGAAATCTAGTATTTAACACAAACGCATACCTTCACCGATTGACTTTTGTTGATTCTTGGTCTGAAGTTGTTGGGATCTCTTCTGAATGTAATCCCCAATAACTCCAAAAAGCGATTCATACCGTTCAACAACGACTGCGGACTGTGAGCAGTTGTTGCCAGCGATGGTACACCAGAAAACACTATTACGCGATCGGCCAGGTACGTGGCCATGATAAAATCGTGCTCTACTACGAATCCCGTTTTCTTTGCGTGCAATATAAATCTGAAATAAATGTAAATTCCATATATGTTTGTAACATTTGTTCACACTTCGTAGCCAGACGTTTACTTATCCCAATTCTCAAATCACCTCTTAATAACTTTAGCGGCAACCAAACGTTGCTCGGAATCTAAATACGCCGATGGTTCGTCAATTAAATACACATCGGCCGGTTTTCCCAGACAAAGGGCCAGAGCAACACGTTGCAATTCGCCTCCGGAAAGATTCTGTACTTCTTGATCCATAATATCGTCGATCTTCAAAGGTTTCATCACGTCGGTCACAAATTGCGGATGCACGTACGCGTCCCGAATTTTCTCATGCAGCAACTGCCTCACAACACCTTGGGATTTCGGACTTATCTTTTGCGGTTTATAACTAATATGAAGTTGGGGAATACTTTCTGCAAAATAATATAAAATTTGTTATATGTTATATCGACCGCGTCTCTAAGTTGTATCCAAGTTATGTCTCATATCTTTTACTACATTAGCATACCTGGTCCATCATCCGGTGGTAAATTGCCAGCCAACATTCTAATAAAAGTCGTTTTACCAGTTCCATTTTCTCCCAACAGAACAAGTATCTCCGAGTCGGTGAACTGACCCTTTTCGACAATCAAATTGAACGTTCCCATTGTTTTCGTCATTGCAGGATATTCGTAGTGATTCATACGTTTCACCTCCTCCTCGGTCGCGCTTTCCGCTACTTTAAACACGAGAGATTCTTCGCGGAATCGCAAATTCTCCGTGGGAACAAACCCATCGAGAAAGATATTGATCCCTTCCCGAACGGAAAAGGGCATAGTGACGACGCCGTACGCACCGGGAACGCCATACAGGCAGCAAATAAAGTCAGATAAATAGTCCAAAACCGACAAGTCGTGCTCCACGACTATTATAAACCTTCACAGACACACGATAAAACGTAAAAGAAATTTCATGAAAATTAATTATGCATTATTTGCATGTAAAAAAAAAAAGTGCTTACTTGTCTGGGTGAATAAGAGATCTAATAGTCACGGCAGCGTTAAGACGCTGCTTAACATCTAGATAAGAGGATGGTTCATCGAACATAAAAATATCCCCATTTTGGATGCACACCATCGCGCAAGCAAATCGCTGAAGTTCACCGCCAGAAAGCGCATCGATACTTCGATCGCGTATATGCAGCAAATCTACAAAACATAATTTTATAGTTTTATATAAAATAAAATAATAAATTTTACGATGAAATGTTACGAAACAATAGCCGACGTTATTATTTCTTACCGAGCATTCTACAGATTTCCATCTGATTCTTGCATTCGTCCTTTTTGTCTAACAGCTGTTGCACAGTTCCTTTCACTGCTTTGGGAATCTGGTCAACGTACTGCGGTTTAATAAGCGCCTTTAAATCATCTTCCAATATTTTGGTAAAATAATTCTGCAATTCGCTACCCCTGAAGTGACTCAAAATTTCTGCCCAGTCTGGTGGATCCTGTGTGTTTCAAATGAAAAAAACTTTCACACATATCTTACCAATAAAATTAACTTAAAAAAACATGTAGCAAAATTCTTATTTGTACACTTTAAAGATGTAATAGTAGATTTACACGAAGACACGTACAGAATATCTTCCCAAGTTTGGCTTTTGTTTGCCAGCTAAAATCTTAAGAGCAGTCGATTTGCCAATCCCGTTGGTTCCTACAAGTCCTAGAACTTCACCGGGACGTGGAATAGGAAGTCTATGCAGTTTGAATGAGTTTTTTGAGTACCGATGCGTAGTTTCCTTCTCTAAATTACTGGGAAGATTAATAATGGATATTGCCTCAAAAGGGCATTTCTGCAAAAACAAAAACAAAAAAAATACATAAATTTTTCAAAACTATCTACTCTCAAAAAAACAAATACATCGGTGTATGATGCAAGTACGTGCTCCTGAATGTACCTTGACGCAAATACCACATCCAATGCACAGTTCTTCTGAGACAGCTGCTATTTTACTATTTGGAGTAACTTCTATACAGAGTTTTCCCATTCGTACTACCGGACAGGATCTCTTGCATTCTTGTCTACATCGTTTCGGTTTACACTTGTCGGAATTTACAATAGCTATACGGGTCAACCGATCCGTTTCTTCCATCGACTTTTTAGGGGGCATGATGATGGAAATATTATCTTAGCTAGAACGAGAAAAAAGATACGTAAGAAAAAAATAACACCGTGAAACAGAAGATTACGGAACAGCAGCAGCAGAGTGGAACGAAGAGAATTGTTTAAATTGACACGTCGATGTAATTTTTCCACTCAATAATTAATTTACTTCGTCAATAAATCATCATTGCGAACACGTACGCGCGCGAACGAAATAAACGATTAAATTTGAAGAGAAACACAAACGCAATAAATTTAACGCGCAAACACGATGTGTCAAATCGTTTATTTTACTCGATCTCGATCGTCGCAGATGTGAAGGCTGTTATAAACGTGCCATGCGGCACTTTAACCTCCTCTCCCTTTCTCTCTGCATGCGTTTTACGTGCACACACGAATCCAGCGCACGGTACAACTCCGGGAAACAAACGTGCGCGATAGAAGCGATTAAAAATAACTCGGATTCTATACGACGTCGCGGTTATAGACGAGGTATAATCTGTATTGAAATTCGCAATACACACCTCTATCACAGAACCAAGAATCGGAAAAAGAGACCTCAATATCCCAGTGTCCCCATTACCTTCTCGTTACCAGTTCCCGAGATTAAAGGAGCATTCCAAAGGGGTCAAGCGTCAAGTTTAAGCCCGCGTATTCTCGAACCGATTCCTTTAAACCCCGTTTCGAACGAACTTTGAGATCCGAAACTTGGAGTTCCGACCAATCGGAACTGGGTAATTTCACGAGGCGCGCACACAAATACTCTGAAACAGTCGACCATTCGCCAGGCGTGACGATTGCGCAATTTGGCCGAATGAGCGAGCGAGCTGCTTCGATCCGATTCGTCGATCTGTCAATCGACAAACGCAACCCTACGTGTTTCATCGTGCGTTCCCGGCTTTAGGGAACGTTTGACGCAACGCGAACGCGCGGCGGATAAATATTATTAGATAGAAAGAGAGAAAGGCAGGATTGGGAGAGGCGAAAGAGAAAGACGGAAAGAGAGAGAGAGAGAGAGAGAACGAATTGTGTCAAGTTAGCGAGCGCTGTCATTTTGCGGTGTTCCACGGTGCTCTGCGGTATAGTTCGGTTTAGATAATACGGCGTTATATCCACGTCAAGTTTTTTTCTCGTGGAAGTAAAACTATTTTAAGTACCCGGCGATTTTTATTAGATATTTTAGGAAATGGCGGACACGACTGTGGATGCTACGCGACGCCTGAATGTGAAAAAACAGACACTGGACGACGCTTATGCGGCGCCTGCGAACTTCCTCGAGATCGACGTGATTAATCCGATCACACACGGCGTCGGCAAGAAACGATACACCGATTACGAAGTTCGCATGAGGGTGCGTATTTTTTTTCTTTTTTTTTTCTTTTTTTGGACGATCTTTTGTTACATATCTCGAGAATGTGCCGTAATTCACGCACGAGCGTGATGATATCGCGCGGATGATACGCGTACGTCAAAAGTTTTTAATCTCGCGACGTCTGATCGCGACAAGACAGATGGATCCCGCACGTCGTGTAATTTGATTAAACGCTCGACGATTGGAATTTACAGAGTGCGTGTCATGGGCTGTGTCTGTTATCGGGCCGATAAAAGCTCGAATGTGTTTCTGAAAACCAGACACACACACCAGTCCGAGAAAAAAAGTACTTCGATTTACTCCTCGGGGCTTTGCGTCTGTTGTATTTTTACGTATCTTGTGTGTTTTTTAATTGCACTTTCGTGTAAACGTGTCACATTCGCGGAAGTGAAGATTCACGGAAAAATCTAAAACATTCTCTAAGTTAACTGCGGTAATATACACCTACTTGTTCTCTTGTAAAAGATGTGTGATATTGCCAAATTGAGTTAGCATTACTCACGTAAATACGATTTGAATTGTTTCGATAATTTGATTTTTATTTTCAGACAAACTTGCCAGTCTTTAAGGTAAAAGATTCGACCGTGAGAAGACGATACAGTGACTTTGAATGGCTAAGAAACGAATTAGAAAGAGATAGTAAGGTTAGTCACCAGACTAGAATGAAATTACATAGTTGAGGGAATAATACAAGTGACGTTTTGAAAAGATTGAAGTCAATATAAGTCAATATACTTGTAGATTTCTTCTATTGTCTGAAATGCTTCTGTGAACTCATACATATGTGCCTGTCGAATATTATATGTCGAACAACTTAACATGTTCAAGTTGGGCTCTTTCAAATCTTTGTTTTATTTTTGAAAAAATTTTTCTAGATTGTGGTGCCACCTTTGCCGGGGAAAGCATGGAAGCGTCAAATGCCTTTTCGCGGGGATGATGGAATATTTGAGGAAGATTTTATTGAGGACCGAAGAAAAGGCTTGGAAGTTTTTGTTAACAAGTGAGTATATTTTGCAAAAAAAAAAAAAAAAAAAAGAATAACACAAATTTATGTTTTACATGATAGTTGCATTTTGAATAGAAAAGAAGAAAAGATCTACTTGATTAGTTCAAATGAGAAACAACTAGTGCTTTAGCGTAATTGTCTTGTTTCTTAATTCAACATATAGAATTTAGGCGATTTTTGCGTTCCCATTAATGGAATTTGAGTTTTTGTTTATTGAACAAACTCTTTCAGAATAGCCGGACATCCTTTGGCACAAAATGAACGGTGTTTACATATGTTTCTACAAGAACCAGTAATAGATAAGAATTATGTACCTGGTAAAATACGTAATACATAAGTTGCCATACAAAGTATCACATATATCTTTCCGTCAAGCCTTCTACATTTTTGAGATTCATCTTTTTCATTGTATCGACATCTTATTTTGAAACTCACGAATGTGTCTCTATATATATTTTTGCAAAAGCTGAATAAGCTTCCAGTGCTCTAATGTCAGATGTGGGATGCTTTATTTCGGGAGCATCTACTTTTAGTCCTTATTCTCTCTTTACTCTCTTTAAATATAAAAACTACTTTAATCACTGTATGAGAAGCATAGGTAAGCATCTTTATATAAGAAAAAAAAATAAAATAAAATAAATAGTAAGTCGGCAAAATCACTCTTACATGTCAGTAGGTTGATTCTGTCTATTGTTATCATGTGATACTGTTTATAACGAAGGAAATATATAAGTAAAATAAAAAATGTTATTATTCGTATACAAAAAAAAAATTATATTACATGTAAAACCCTTTTGTGCTATTTGCTTTAATAATACATGATAGCAATGTGTGTGGTTAATGATGTATAAGTGAATATTTGACATATATGTGTGAGCTCTATTATTTTATCTAGTAGTCTTTTAAAACTATTCAACAACCTCTCATTTCACACATACACACATATATATATGTACAAATGTATGCATATGTATGTATAAAGTGAGATTTGTAAAATTAGTTTTTTATATATATATATATATATATCTGTTTCAAAGTTTTTGAGATTTTATATGTTCAAAAGAAATGTTATATGTCACACTTCTGTTTTTAATAAATATTTATTTGTACACACTTAATATGTGTTTATAAAGAAAAACAAACATTAAATATATTGAAAGAGATCTATATATGTGTATAAGAGAAAGAATTTATATACATTTCACTAACGTATTGCGTAATATTGTGATACAGGCCTTCATAAGAATATATCCTGTTTAATCTTAATACATTTTCCGCTTTTGAAGTAATCTTTTATATATTTGCTCACTGACGTCTCCTCTGGAAACAAGTACAAGCAGAAAAAACTCATATAAATTTCATCATTTATATAAAATATTTCTCGTTTCTTTTGTGTATCTTTTATATTTATGAACATGCATATTGAATAATCACGAGATGTACGATAAGTTTTTTCTGTATTAATATTTATTTATTGCGTTATTCAAAAATGTATAAAAAAAAAGAGATTTTATATTATTAGCATATTATTAATATAATATTTAATACTTTTAATGTATGTGTGCGTTGTATATATGTATAATTACACACACATACACACACGATTTTATAGAGAAATTGTAATTACGACTTCGATTACAGACTCACCTGGAAAGGTATTTTCTATAATAAGCATATCTGTGATATATTTTGCAACAGCTTTGAAAAGGTGTCGATTTTTAATCCTTCTCTTTTTGTAGAATGGCATTAAATACTTAACGATCCAAGGTGCTATCCTATCTTTGCACGCTGGTAAATAATCCTCTATACATATAGGCGAATCTAACATCAATTCGTCGTCGTCGCCGCACTCACCGAACAAGTAGAAAAACTTTTCTTTAATCTTCCTGTGCTTTCGATAATTTCTCAGCGACAACTCCGTCATTTTGGCTTTGAATTTGGAAACCTGATGCACACGTTCCACGAACCAGACCGCGTTTATTCTCTGCTGTTGATCGCTTACGTTGTCGTGTTCGTCGCTTTTATCTCTGTTGGCCTTGTTCAGTTTGTTTCTTCTCTGTCTTTCCTTGTAACTACGAAAGCTAAGTTTATTTGCGTTCACTCTTTTTACACTGGGTATGGTAGTAGTTTCTGACACACCCCAAATATTATTCAAGTCATCAATGTCCGTTTCCAAACATTTCTGATTAGTTTCGTTGTTAACGTTGCTATTAACTTTGGTACAATCGGAGTGTTTTTCAATCAATTTTGTGAGATCGCTACTGTCGTCACTCTCGCCAAACATATCTTCCATATGTTGCAACAGTGAATCCTGTGAATCCTCATCTTCATTTTTCACAAAGGTAATGTCATTTGTCAGTTGCGGAGCGGTTGAAACCTCAGTTCTTTGACTAGCATTGTTAAAGTCCATCGTTAGAGTGTTGTCTAAGAATTCCGTTTGCTGTACTTCCGTTTCGTTGTTAAAATCTTCGCTAACATTTGTGTTTTCAAATATACTGCTAAGATTGAGAGTCAACGAAGCTGTTGGTGACATTTTCTCGTCGTTGGGCGAAATACACGTGCCTCTTGCGGTCTCTATCTCGTGAACATCCATCCACGTAGATTTGTCCGTTTGCACGGCAACGTCAAAGGTGTTTCTAGGTTCTTCCAAAAATATCACCAACGTTTTGTAAGCTTTTCTATTGATAGTATGGGATTTTATATCCTTAATCTGAGAAATGAGACTGCGATTTAATAAAAGTATGCCAGTGGACACACACACAGACAGATATAAAGAAGCACTACTCTACTTGCCTGGTTTTTTTTTTCTTTTTTTTTTTTTTTTTTTTTAAGTTTTAATAAACACCGTTTTAAATGAAACCTACGAATGTTTCTTACCAGTCTTAACATATTCTCTCTGTACAATTGAGATTCCAATGCCAATCTAACGGCATGTAATTCCATTTGATCTGCGCACTTTTTAATTTTAACAGCTGACATTTCATCATCTTCTCTTTCCTCATAACACGTTTCATAATTATTAAGCAAACACTTGTGTAGATATGACAAGTATGTATTACGGACCTGTGTGTAAATGACATATAAGCGTGATGTAACGTTGATCAACATATCAAAAGACACTTTATTACAAATGTTCACTTGAAACAATTTTGCTACAATTTCTTCAAATTCAAGAAGATCTTTGACACAACAAATGTAAGAAAATTCAATATATAAATTTCAACGGGAAAAAATTAACTACTTGAAAAGAGAGAAACTACTGATAATAAATATATATATATATATCTATTGTAATAAACATGCCATTGTAGTAAGACGCAAGTACTCGTTCGACTGATCGAATATAAGAGCGTTATTATTTATAGAAATTGATGGCAGGGGCATGAATGAGAGCTTGTCAATGTGTTCCATAAAAATGTCATCATCGCTCAAGTCATCATCGCGGACTGTCTGTTCTGTTTTTAATGTAAACGACGAGGAGGTGTTGAAGTTATCCGCTGTCATTTCTCAGAGTAAGTTTATATATATATATATATCCTGCACCCCCGTCACGTACAATGAAAAGAATGAAAATAACGATGTTTGCGTGCGATAAACGGCCTGCGAACGATCGTTATGTGATATCTGTTTTATGCATTTTCCTCTTCGCTCCGATACAGGTAAAATTCAATATTATGAGAATTGTCACTTGTCGAAACTGTTACACAAAACCGCATCTTTTTACATCTCGCAAACATAACATTAAACACTATTTTCACACAATCAATCTTGAAAAATTTGGAGGAGCAATGGAAACTCGGCGGGGTCTTCGCATTTAGAGGAGAAGAACCTCTCTGAGAGCGATCGCATCCGATTGGCCGCACTCGACGGGTTAAGAACGTCGCTTTGTGATTATTGTTTGACGCGATTGGTCTATTTCTTTAGATCAATCGCGAATGTGAAAGCACACGCGTCACTCACAGGCGGTAAAGCGCAAAGTGTGATGGAGAACCCGATTGGTTTGTTTTCGCGCGAAAATTTGTAAAAAAAAAAATTGTTCATCCTTTTAGATCGAGAATCGAGTTAATTTCGCTGTACGTCAATCGAGACCGAGAAGAAACGAAGCAACAATTTCCTCCGTACGTTCCGTAAATTTTTGGAATACTTGAGGTTTTTTGGTTCTCGTCACACACACACACACACACATCGCGCTGTCGTCAAACGAAATCTCAGGTAAGAATTAAAAAAAATTAGTTCTCGACCTCGTAATCTCATAACCTCAACCGTGCCTCAAGGTTAGAAGAGAGATAACGCGTCAGATTTTCTTTGCCGAACGCAAACACAACACCGATACTTAATACTGTAAAAAGTAATTAAAAGTAATTAAAAGTAATTAACGCTTAATAACTCGCGCGCGCATTGCGAAGCGACGCTTCTTTCTGTCAGAATTTTTCGTTTCGTGCAAAAAAAACTGCATCGGTGTAATTCGCGAATCGGTGAGAGAGGTAAACTAATTAATTAATTTATTTCTAAATCAACTGTGAAATTAAAATTAAAGTTTTTTCGATAGCCAACGAAAACTCTTCACAGAGAAAAAAAAAAACATTCTCTCGAATTACAAGTGTGCACATTTATATAAACAATTGCGAATTATAGAATTTAACAATTAAACTTACGGCCGCTTTTGACAAAAGAACGATACCGTCACTGTCTCGATCGAATTTGAAAGAAAGAACTAGGATGTGTGCGATCGTCACATGCTTTCGGTTTTTTTTCTTTGTCGGATTTTGAAGCGCACAATCTTACTCAGTCGCTATATGTGATCACTATTGTTCACTGTTGCTATTGCGGACTGCTGATGGTTTCCCTCTTCAGTTCTTTCTCCCGATTCGGCGAATCTTCTTTCCTCCTCTCTTCATTGGCCTTTGCTGACGGCGCCAGTAATGCGGTCAGCAAGCCTTTACACAAAGCATCAGTTTATCCACGGTTTTATCTTGACAACATATCGCATCTTTAAGCAGAATATTGCAAAAGACTAAAATAAAACTAAGAAATAATTAGATGATGTGTGTGTGTGTGTGTGTGTATGCGAGATAAAAATGTGCACGCAGTTAGCTGAGTGAGTCAATTGACAATCGGATTCCGTCAATCGGTTTACTCACCAATGTTTTCTCCTTTGAACGAAGCTCCTGAAGAAAAAAAAAGTCCCAATTAGAGAGCGTAATAATTTATTATTTAATATTTTTCAGAAGTTGTTCGACAGATTTCTTTATCTCAGAATCTTTCTACTCACCGTTACCGCGATACTTGTTCAGCTGCTGGTACACTTGCTTCATTCGCTCGATGTTGATGCGCGAGCTCTTGCTGTGGTTCACCATCGGGAGCGAGTACTCCTTGCCGATTATGCACTTGGCTGCGTGCTGTATGCTGAGCGGGGCGTTCCACGGTTCGTGAATGTACCTCGTCGGAAAGTTCTTCAGCACCGGTAGGTAGCGTCTAATCGCGAGACCGATTCAATTCAAAATACAAATTGCTCAGATATACGTAGTTTTGCGAAAGATCCAAGCGTTTTTACGCAGATCTATTTAATAGCAGACTGGGGTTACCTGATGTAATCGCCGTTCGGATCCGCCTTCCTGCCAAATCGCACGGGACAGTAGCAGTGGAAAAATTGTTGAAAAAATGAACTGCACGAGAGCCACATCCACATGCCGGCATTGACGGACCAATCGGCGTCCAACAGAAGCTCGTCGAACACCTTCAAAAAAATGACATATTAGCTTCAACATGAAATAACGAAATAGCGCCAATAACATGTGGAAAAAGTGATAGCAGGTGTTGTTCGTCAAAAATTATGAAAAAAGCGACATGTGTCACACCTTCATCCCTTCCTCCCATGAGATCCAAAGATCGCCTCTGGTTAGAAAACAAGCCACTGCATGTCTCGCCAAATGATGTATCCAGCCCTCCTCCCGTAACTGAGTCATGATCGCGTCGATCCACGGAAATCCGGTCTGGCCCTGCCACGAAAAAGGAACAGGTACTTACATCAAATAGTATAAGAGTTCTCTGCAAACTTTTAACTTCTCTCCGCAAATATTAAAAAAAAAAAAAAAACACGAGATCTATTAAAACTAGCTGCAAACATTTACGCAACGAAACTAATGTTTACCTGTGCATAAAAATTAATAATTTAACTCACGTTTGCCCATTTTGCGAGGGCTTCCACGTTTTTGTCCCACGGTATCTGCACGCAGATCGGGTTGCCCTGCATCCGATCGAAATTCGGATTCTTCGTCGCGGCGCAGTAAAAGAATTCGCGCCAGAGAAGCTGTCCGTGCAGCGACAGCGGCGGCACCGCTTTCTTTATCTAAAATATAATTTTGCCAAAGTAATTTTAGCGACACGACTTCTCTGCGCGAGCTGAAATCAGATTTTTTTTTCTTCGTCGCAAATTTTTGAATCTAATCGGCGCGCAAGCGCTTTGTTTGTTGAAATTTGCGCGCGGGATCTTTCGAGCGAATTATTAAAAAAAAAATCGACGAAGGTCGTATACCTTCTTGTAGAGATCAGTGAGTTGATAATAGAACAGTCGCGTGCTGAGACAACCAAATCGTAGATAAGGCGAGAGTCCGGTCTGACTCGGCAGCAAGGACTGCGGTGTCATCTTCGGTCTACCGAAACTGGCCACCCACGCCTTCCTTTCGAGATGACGCTCGAGCCGCGCCAGGGCCTCACTCTCGCCGCCGACCCACACCGGCGGCAACAATCCGTCCGTGTCAAAACCTTGAAACACAAAGTCGCCAAGTACGATCATGAGCAACTTCGTACTTTGCTCCATGAGTAATAAATATATTAATAAGAAAAAAAAGCAAAGCATCTCTTTGAAATATATCGATCTCTTCTCACCGAGTTCTTCCAAGGTTGGTACACCGTAGTGATCGTCGTGATCGTCCTTGAGGGGAGTGTAAGCGTTGCCAATGCAGGCGGCAGTCACTGTTCGCGCCGGTAATTCCGGCGGGTCCATACCGGCAATGATATTTTGAAACTGATGATACGTCAACGGTGGTTTCCCACCGTTTCTTTCTATGATTCTAAAGCAAAACGAGAAACGTATAAATATTAAAACTAAGTATGAAGAGGCTAATATGAGCCATCTAAGATTAACATAGGCCAATAATAACGTATAAATATTAAAATTGCGAATTAATATATTCTAGATATATTTTTGTGTGTTAAGTGATTTTTTTTAACAACCGAAAATTGTGAGAAAAAAAAAATAAGTACAGACTCACTCGTGCAGTTTGTAAAGAGTGTGCGAGACTCTCTGGACAACCGAGATGCCGAGCTCCTTGCAGAGTTCCGAAATGTTGTGATCGCGCACGCGACCGAACGGTTCCGGATCCTCCTCGAAGGTCAGATTCGTCGTGCCCCATTCCTTGAAGAGTTTCGGCAGCGCGTCGGCCGGCTGACCCCGAATTACGAACAGCCGGGAATTCAGTTTCCTCAGGGAGCAATCCAGATCCTCCAGGCACTGCAGCAAAAACCTGCGTACGCGTGCGTTACGCGTAAATAAATACAAACATTTTTTTACCGAATAATTTATTCACACAATCTTTTTTTTTTCACTTATTTCCCGCGCGCGATTCGAGTTCAAAAATTAAAACGCTCACAACTTGCGGACGAAGTTGTGTGTGTATGCGTGTGTGCAAGTAGATTTTGAATTTAAAACGCTTTGAATTCAGCGCGTAGGGCCACTCACCTCCACTTATTGATACCAACATTGGTACTTCCAGCGAACCAAGGATCTAACACGAAGACGCACCGAAATGTGGACGCGCCAGCGAGACCCTCTCTCAGCGAGGGATTGTCGTGCAGCCGGAGTCCCTTGCGGAACCAATGGACCGTGTGCTTCTTACCGTCGCCACGAACTCCCGACGTCACCTTCTGACCCATTTCGTTGTTACTGCTTCCCGTCATCTTTCCTCAACACCGTCCTTCGAAGTATAGACCAATTTTAATTAAATCGACTGGCGCGCGCGTAAGTAACACACACACACACACACTCACATAACGCTATTGTTACGCGTAACATCTCGTTAACAATGTAAGTTTTAAAATTGCCGGAATGTAAAAATAATACGTGTACACGTAATAATAATTACGTAATAATTAGGTATGCAACAGTTATATTACAAGTCTTCTCTTCCATAATTTCGAAATATAAAAGCGCTCATCGAAGTTGCAGGAAACTTTAGCAAGCGCATTTGCGCGAGATTAGCGAAACATTTGTTCGATAAAAGAGTTGCAACATGCAGTTTTTCTGCCAAATTGAAGCTATCTTTATTAAAACGGAGAACATATATATAATTTATATACATAGAATTTCCCCGTCACAAAATATGTCGCGTCTAGACACACGCTCGAGGTGTCTCCCGATCCGAAGTTTATTCGGAAAGTTTGCGCCCTAACTGTCTTTCTTACTTTTGTTTGTGAAGCTTGCGGAGAAAGCGCGTCTGTCTCTCTCGGGGGTGAGACTCTCGCGGAGTTTCTAGCTCGGTTCACAATTTTTGCGGTTGGCAAATTGATAAAAGCTCTCAGCCGGCAAAGCGCAGACAGCAAGCTCGACGTGGTACGCACGTCATCGCGATGTGAAAATCGCTGCCGATTTCGTCTTCACGCAAAGTTCCGATTCGAAAAACAGAAATTTAATACGCGAAGTCGTGTCAGACGCGACTCAGACGATCGACGACGATGCGCTCGCGACTGCCGTGCAAACGACGTGCATCGTCACGCTCGCAAATTGTCGCGCCGCAAAAGTTCACAGGGCACTTTTTCAAAGCACTTCCTCGTGTAAACACTTGTCGAACCGGCGGTGGTGTTCTTGGATAAAAAATTCAAAGTTTTTTTTCTTGTTTTATCGCAGCAGCAGATAAATCTTCACTCTTGCAACTGCGCTCGCAAAAGTATCGATGATGCGAGTTATCTTGGTGTCACTTCAAATGCCCCTCGGAGTCTTCGCGCTTATTGTTTTCGTCGCTTGCGACGATTGTTATGCGGAAGAGAGAGTAGAGGATCATACACTCATACACATACACACATCCACATACGCACAAATTAACTGTTATTTCAACTGTGCAATTTCGTGTGAAAAATGTATTGCGTTGCGTAATGTTAGAGAACAACGCGACGGATCCAATAACGTGCGATTGCGCTGCGCAAATTCGAGAATCCTCAAAATAATCGGATAAGAAGAGACACCACCGATCGGCCCCCGACGCGCCGATTTTGCGTTTTCTCTTTTTACTTGCGTGTACGTTTTTTTTTTTTTTTTTTTTTTTTATATGACGTTATATGACATCTCGGCAGGACTGGAGTAAAGACGTGTCCCATCCTTCTCGCAGTCACTCGCATATGCAAACGCATTAATCGCGGGATACCGAAGACG